ATCCATACTGGATGAATGAGGCTCCAAAGATGGAGGACTCGGGTTGTGATGGTCATCACATAGGCGTCGGAACCGGGGGGGGGGGGGGGGGGGGGGTTTTTTTTTGCGAAGATAGACATTTTCTAGGTATTGAAAATTGGGGTTTACCTTTTTTTGTCGGTGTAGCCCCCCTCCCCCTTTCAATTCTTTCAGTTTGCTTCCGACGCCTATGCATCAAGCTCATTCTAGGAAAGGATATCCTTACCAAGGCAACTCATCCTTAAGAGATTTGGCCATGTTTGACAAATGGACTAAAACAAAATTTTAAATCAAAGAATACGGTAGATTTCGATGAACGTTGTTGCCATGGTTACTAAAAATAGAATTTTCTGTGAATTTCCTTTAAAATGCTACTCCTCCTGCAGTTTTGATCTGATTTCAATATAACTTGGCACACAAGTAGACTACACTTAGACACATAAAATAGTGCATCGGTTTTTGATTCTGATGAACAGTGTTGCCATGGTTACTAAAAATAGAATTTTCTGTGACATTCCTTTAAAACGCTACTCCTTCTACATTTTTGGTCTGATTTCAATATTACTTGACACACAAGTAGACTACACTAAGATACATAAAATAGTGCATCGGTTTTTGATTTCAATGAAATGTGTTGCCATGGTTACTAAAAATAGTATTTTCTGTGACATTCCTTTAAAATGCTACTCCTTCTACAGTTTTGGTCTGATTTGAGTATAACTTGGCACACAAGTAGACCACACTAAGATACATAGAATAGTGCATCGGATTTTGATTTCGATGAACAGTGTTGCCATGGTTACAAAAATAGAATTTTCTGTGACATTCCTTTAAAACGCTACTCCTCCTACAATTTTGGTTTGATTTCAATATAACTTGACACACAAGTAGACTACACTAAGATACATAAAATAGTGCATCGGTTTTTGATTTCGATAAACAGTGTTGCCATTGTTACTAAAAATAGAAATGTCTGTGACATTCCTTTAAAATGCTACTCCTTCTACAGTTTTGGTCTGATGGCAGTGGCTTCTTTTCTCATCCTTTGTTATAAGTTCAAACCATTAGAGCTACAGTCTCGACAGAGACTTCTGGTTAAAGCTAAATTTGTCGAAATTTCGTCAATTTGGTCCTCTTTCTATAACATTATAAAAAAATCGGACTAGTTTGTGACGTCATAAAAACAAAAATTGTCAATAAACTACTTTGAAACTATAATATGTTTTGTTAATTTATATTTCTCATACAATTTATAGAATTCAGCACATTTTTTAAAAAATTCAAAATTTGACTTTTTGGGGGGCAAAGATATGCAATATACCGCATATAGTTCTTTGATTAAGCGTTGATGAAGCAGCATTTCCTGTTGAACACCGTAGCACAAGCCGGGCATTGCTCTATGAGCAATGAGCCCGTCTAAAAATGGTAAGAAATACCACTCGGAAGAACCTTGAAGCTTCTGTGAATAGAACGCTTCGGTGCATGACACGTGACCGCCTGGATCACGTGTTTCAGGCATGTGCAAAACGGTGGCAGTTGCGCATTAAAGTCAGAGACTTGCCAACTTATGCCTGCTACCCATTTTGGAGTTTAGAAAGATTGATACCATTTCCAAACTAATATAAATGTTATTCACAAAATTACATTTTGGTCTTAGTTCTAGATTCTCTTGTATTTTGTATCTTTGAGAAGATGCCTTGTGAAGTTTCTCCGCAAATCGATTCAAAACTGTAATATACGAATGAAAAAAAACAGACATCCAGTCAGACGTGATACAGATACCATACCAAATACTTCTACGAAAAAAGAAGCTAACAATGCGTTTTGATTTGTCAATGAGAAATTTTTAACAACTAATCATTTAGAAGTGTTCGTCAGATATAGTAAATATAGAGATATTTTTATAAGAAATGTTTTTCGTACTGTCATGAGTCGCCCGCGTGGCGCAGTAGTTAGAGCGTCTGTTCTAGAAACGCGAGGTAAGGAGTTGATCCTTACGTCGCGGATTCGAATCCCGCTGTGGGACTTGAAGATCGGTCCTTCAGATTAGACCATATAAACCGAGGCCCAGTGTCGCAGTAGGTGCTGGCACGAAAAAGACCCCTCCCTGCTCAAGCCATAAGAGCCGAGTATAGGACAAAATTTGCAGCTCTCCATCGGCAAGTGATGGCGTCTCCATATGAGTGAAAAATTCTCGAGAGGGACGTTAAACAACATACCATCACTCAATCGTACTGTCATGTTGTAAATTTTTAATTTACCAGGTGGCAGTGTGGACAAAATTTACAACACGACAACTTTTGTATTTAATGCCACCCGATTAATTCAAAATTTACAACATGACAGTACCATCATCTAACACCATGTACATAAATAGTCACAATACAAAGGTATGACGTCACATATTTACAAAGGTCGCAGAGAGACAAAATCATGAAACGTAGGCTCAATTACGACCTTTAGGGTCCCGAGCTCAGCCCACAACTATCACAACTATCACAGCTAAAATAATGCAAACACAGAGTAATTACATTTCCATTTTCAAGGTCTCCACATTTTATTAGAAAATGTCCCTTGTGTGGAACAGATTCGAACTAAAAATATTTTTGTCCACCATGTTTACCTTGACCAGTTAAATGTAAATAATTTTTAAAAGGTCAAGGTCTCTAGGCATTGTCACTTGGACATCGTTTTATTGAAATAACTACATGAATGTTTTAAATTCATTTCATGATTTGCCTTTTAAACTACTTTAAATAATTCTTAATGTAAATGTAGAAACAATACAAAATTCTTTTTAAAACATTAAGATAGAAAGACTTCTCTTTTTATAGTCATCTGACAGAGGGTGGCCTTGACCTCTGAAGAATATGGTAAATTTCAGTGTTTAATGAACATGAATCTAAATTGATTCTGCAGTAAAATAGCCGATATTTTAATTCACAGAGGATTTCCCTGAATACCATTTTTACGCAAATGTTTGGTAACTCTATGTTAACACGAAGTATTATCATAGAAATATCAGCTTATTACACGGAACCCAGGAACTGCTTGCAGACTAAAACATTAAGTTTGTTCTTTTCCCATTTTCAATTACTCTCAGATTTCATGCCATTATTATATTGCCCCACTCATAGAACTGCATTGTTTTATAAAGAGTTTTATCATTTAATGAACAAAAGCAATTGTTGGCTGCTCTGTTATCCTCAAACAAAGCAAACACATGCGTGAAAAAGCATATCACTTGATTTAAAACATGTTCCTAGAATCTATAGAAATAGGTGAGCTGGTAAAACTGTATTCTATTATGAAACAGCTGTTTTATTTTTTTTTTTATTAATATTTAAGAGGCCAAAGTGTTCCATGGCGCAAGTTTACTAATTACAGACCAAGCAGGGTAATGGTATAACAATCATAGACACTCCAAAAGCAATTACTGTGAAGTCATTTTAATTTGTGTGTGTGTGGGGGGGGGGGTTAATGTTCATGGGCAAGTGAAAGAGCTAGGTTCACTTTCTGCATAAAATGGCCTTGTACTTATATCAATTAACTATCACACTCTTTTCCATTTCATATATCAAAATAAAGGAGACACTTGGTGCTTTCATTTCCTATAATAAAATTTCTTTTTGAGAATCCAGGCTGGAAAACGGCTTTGAGAAATTGCAATGTTCTTGAAATTTGCAGATAACATGCGTATTTGACTACCTTCAGCAAAGAATTAAAATATGAGCACAGCCCACGATCCAAAAAATAAAACCTGTTTTTTTGATCTTCAGAAACATACCTTTCATAATGTATTTGCATATTCTGGATCAGAGGTTGTGCTCTATATGAAATGTTGAAAAAATACTTTAAATTTTGGCCATTTTCAAAGGAGTTTGCAGGATATGAAGAAAATTACGCATTTTATGACATCATAATGCATTGACTAGAGGGAAAATTACGTCATGATTAATAAATATGTGGTCACCAACACTCCAAATGATAAATACTGCATTTGCAACCTAAACTGAGCCATTTTGATTTTTCAGAAATTCTCAGGGCTAAATAAGGCCCAAAGTGGCTCTTACTCTTTTACTTCTTCATTGGGACATGATTGCATTGGTTACTAGTACTTGTTTTTACAAAAGATTCAATGAATCAATAAAAAAAAAACTGGCAGATGTAGTATTCATTGTGTGATAAGTTATATTGAAATAAAAAACTGTTTTTAAAGGAATTCCAACATAAAAACCGATCTAAGTGATAATGAAATCAGAACGTTTTATTGAAAATTCCCATGGCAACATCGTTCATCGAAATCAAAAACCGATGCACTATTCTATGTATCTTAGTGTAGTCTACTTGTGTGCCAAGTAATATTGAAATCCTCAAACAATGATGATTACTGTAGAAAGAGTAGCGTTTTAAAGGAATTTCTCAGAAAATTCATTTTTATACCATGGCATCACCGTATATGATGTTTTTATGTTGACAAGAACACAACTTCACAACATTTTTTTTTCTCAAAATTTTTTTTAAACCATGGCCACCTTCATCGCAAAGATCCTATTTTATGTATCACATAACCAAGTTATATTGAAATCAGTGTACCGTTTTGAAAAATTGTTTACAGACAGACGGACTGCCAACATAATCTACAAACATTGCCCCCTCCACCCCCCACCCCCTCAAACAATGATGATTTCACAGTAGATGTCATTGTTATACCAAGTATATGATGTTCTTGACAAGAACACAACTTCACAACCTTTTTTTTTTCAAAATTTTAAATTCCAACTTCATGGCAAAGTCCTCTGACACATAACCACAGTGTACCAGCTGCAGATTTAGGACTCAGCTGCTGTTTATGTGTAGGTGTATGATGAAGAAGCCCTCAGACTGGAGACATTATAGAGCTTCATACATCATCACCTGTGTGACAGCCCAACAGGTGAACTAATGTTAAATTATCTCTAAGTAAACACAACCTGAGACAGTTATTTTCACAAGCTTTACATTTATGGTTTCTGTTACACTACAGCTTGACAATTCAATCTCCTATCTCCGTCCACTTCGTACTCTGTGTGTTTGAATTCCAACCTTATGTTCATAGTACAATAAATATTGCAAAAAGGAAACACGGTTATCGGGAATAAAAATGTCATAAATATGATACAGTCACTAAGTTCCAATCATTGTAGTTTTGCTATTGTGGCCAAAGCTTCAGTGATTTTCTCCATTTCAATATTGATTTCATTCATCTGCAAAAACAAAAAGAGAAAATTATGAAAAGATTCTTTTCGACATAAAAAAATATTTGTTTATAACTATTTTTTTTAACACCGCTTTTCCCCTTCATTCATATAACATGTTCAACATGGTTTCTGTAAAATATTTCCAAAACACATTTTTTCATATTTTTTTCTGTTATCATACAATTTTGTTCTTGCTGTAGCTTACCTTCTCGGTGTTTTGAATCCTGACTTTTTCGGGCACTTTCTCTTCATACCCTGGTACTGCAGCAGCCTCCTTTAGCTTGGTCATTTGGGATACAAGCTTTTCTTTCTTACTATCTAACTTCACCTTCTCTTTCTCAAAATCAATCAGACCCTACAAGTATGTCATATTAATAAATTGTAAAGTTTTACACTGGAAATTTAAGACTAAATGCCTAAAACTTTGCATTTTATAGTATTTGTGTCCTCAAGTTGAGTACATCAAATCAACATTTCGATACAATTTAATATTAATGGTGCTTGCAGTGTACAATTTTTATGCCTTTATCATGTTCACTACAGCAACGTATACTCTTTTTATTGTATTGAATATTTGATATCAGTGTTTTATAGCAGTAACTATATGCTGGATTTTAGTGGCTTGCTGCAGTTAACTTCACTAAAACTGATAAAATAGTGCATTGTGCAATACTTAATGGCTGCAGTAAAACCTGCAATTTTATACATTACAAGCTAGGCATTAATAGTTTTGGATTTTGCTGTGTCATGGCTAAATGAACTCAGTGAGGAAAGTCTTTGACCAGAAGCATGAAGAGAAAACAGGGGTAACACTAAACAAATCAAAAATAAAGGGCTCCATTACACTCAAACTGTCTGAACTTGAGATAACGTCAATGACCTTGGATGACCATAGAGGAATGATATCACATTCCTTGACAGTGGGAAGATGACTGAGTATATGAACTGAACAGAATTGTTAACATACAGGAAATAAAACATGGTATTGGTGGTATACATGAATTAACACATGCACAAATTTAGGTAAATGCACAAAAATAAGAATCTTGTTAAAATTAATACCAGTACATGTAGTATGGAAGCAATAGCTTTGCATTCTGAGCATGTGGAAACAGATGAAAATTTTCATATCCTTTGGAATAAGAATGCTACAAGTAGGTAACCATAAGAGGCAGGAAATGTAAAACTCTCTTAATCCATTGCATTGGCAAACATGATAAAAAGAAGGACTCTGTTATGCAGACCTTGAGAAATTCAGTTTGTACTGTCTATCAAGGTCAGAAATAAAGAGTGCTCTTAAAGTAGACCAGTCCAATTAAACAATAACACGAGGTAAGATCAGACAAGTGTGCTAGCTCTGGAACAACATTACTTATGAGATTGACCATGCGCGGATCTAGAGGGGGGGTCGGACCCCCCTGGAATTTGCATGGTTATAAATTCATATGCTAAAGCAAGTAAAACGTGACCTTGGACCCGCCCTGGAAAAGCCAGACCCCCCTGGAAAATGCGGATTTGTGTTAAATTGGAATGAACAGTCAGAGGTTTGGAGCAGGTTTTTGACGTTTGGGCGATTTTTTTTTTTTTTTGCTTGTCAAGAAATTTTTGGGTTGAATTTTTTTTTTTTTGGACTGAGGTGGACCCCCCTGGAAAAAATTTCTGGATCTGCGCCTGTTGACTGTCTACAAGAATATATTGGATTCATATATCTTATCATAAACCAGGTTCATCAACCCTGACTTATTTCCTTAAATGGTCAGTAACAATTCTTATAATTTTTTGTGGAGGTTTCATTTTTGTTGTTATCAATGACTAAAATTAAAAGATTCACTAATATATGTCCTTCACGAAATGTTAAGATATCAATCTGCAGTATAATGCTTCATCTATCATTTGTATTAATCACAAAATCAGATTCCCGTTAACCACTATTTTTCTCTAAAACCATGAAAACTTGACCCCACAAAATAGGTGATTTTACAGAATATTGGCTATTTTCCCAACAATCACATTATGAGAGACATATTTACAAAAAGAAATGATCAAGACCTTGGGTTAAATGATGTCTGCCATATAGCTGGATGTAATTTTTCACCTGTATGACACCAAAATATACCCAGCAGAAACATGTCATGTTTAAAGTCAAAGGAAAAATGAATTAAAAGCTCCCAAGTTTGCTTAGCTTTAACGAGATACAGATAATTTTCACAAATACTGTTATACATGAAAGGCTTAGTAATTCTGAGGATTAAGTGAGGAATGAGGATTTTATGATCCTGAACAAGAGGGAAAATATGATGAACCTTAGTGCCCTGCACATGCTGTAACCAAAGCAACTATCTGTTTAAACTTGGAAAAGGAGTCTAGACTCTGGGATCATACTGTATTTGGCTGTGTATTTTATTTTTCACTTTTGGTAGAGAACTTCTGTTAAATCTAGTACATCTCTTAATATATTTTATTATTGTACATCTCTAAACATCTTTTATAAGAGGATAAGACATACATTCACAACTATGCAGAGTTGTTAGACAGTATTTACCAAATAATGTACATCCCAGATATAATGCAAAATCTAACTCTGTTACTTTTTACAGGAGGTCAGATATGATGAGTTTGGTAACTTTGATTGTGAGGTGATGTGAAAATGTGGTTACATTGAGTGAGATATAAGACTTGTTAACATTGAGTATGAGGTGAGATACGAAGAGCTTGGTTATATGGAGTATGAACTGAGATAAGAATAGCTTGGTTATACTGAGTATGAAGTGAGATAAGACGAGCTGTGTTACACTGAGTACGTAGTGTGATAAGAAGAGCTTTGTTACACTGAGTATGTAGTGAGATAAGAAGAGCTGTGTTACACTGAGTATGTAGTGTGATAAGAAGAGCTTTGTTACACTGAGTATGTAGTGTGATAAGAAGAGCTTTGTTACACTGAGTATGTAGTGAGATAAGAAGAGCTTTGTTACACTGAGTATGTAGTGAGATAAGAAGAGCTTGTTACACTGAGTACGTAGTGTGATAAGAAGAGCTTTGTTACACTGAGTATGTAGTGAGATAAGAAGAGCTGTGTTACACTGAGTATGTAGTGTGATAAGAAGAGCTTTGTTACACTGAGTATGTAGTGAGATAAGAAGAGCTGTGTTACACTGAGTACGTAGTGTGATAAGAAGAGCTTTGTAAAATTGGGTATGAGGTAAGATATGATGAACATGGTTGTATAGAGCTTTAGGTGAGGTATGAAGAGCTTGGTAAAAACACCTGGTGAGATTTGTAGAGCACTGTAACATTGAGTATGAGATGAAATTTGTACAGCATATCTTAAGCATGAGGAGAGATTATGTAGAGCTTGGTTATCTTTAGCATGAGGTGGGGTTTATAGCGATTGGCTACCATGAGTCTTTTGTAAGGTGAGTGTTGCTTGATTACCTCAAGCATGAGGTGGGGTAGATAGCTCTTGTTTACTGTCTTCTGTGAAGTAACTGTTGATTTATTACTTAAGCATGGGTGGAGATATGTATTGCTAGATTACCTTAAGCATGAGGTAAGTCTGGCAATTGATTGAGACACTTTGTATGGCACATCCCTCAGGTGGCTCCTGATTGGTCAATACATGGACAGCACTGGAACTGGTCGAGGCCTGAATGAGGGTCTCATGTGGCCTCACTATATCAGCTGTCTGCTCATCTGTACACTTGATGAACACTGAAAATCAAATTTTGGGAAATCGTCGATTTCAAAATGTGTTTCAAAAATGTAAACAAACATTTTCACGTCTCTTCCATCAGCGCATACATTCATGTGTCTGTGAGTGTAACGAACAACAACTCTGCATGGGAGATTGATGTAGTATATACCAATATTTTTTCCTGAGTTTTCTTCTTATTCCATAGAGAGTTAGTATATTAAAAATAATTTACTGATTGCTCAGTGTGCACAGTTTCACATTTCTGATATACATGTAGTTATGGAATTCCTGCACATTATCCACCTTCAATGTTTAATTTATTTGAATGGTTTACCTTCAGCTTTATCTTTCCCTGTCAGAAGATAATCAGATCTTGTAGAACGTAGAGATTTTATTATACTCTGTAGAAACTCCACCTCCCCCTCCACTTTATTGTTTCTGAAGGAAAACTACAAAACAAAAAGTCAGCAATCCTCACTATGTCATATGAAGCTTAGGTTCATTACAAATTGACATCATGAATATCTCATATGAGCAACGGAGTCAAGTTTTTAAAAATGTAACCAAACTAAGTATGATAAAATTATTTCCTATTGATAGATAGAAACTAACTCTAAATGATTTACATGAGCTTATCTCATTTCACCAATTTCCTAGATTGATATTTTACCTGTTTGACCTCTGGGTATGAGGTTACACACAGACTCGGTGGACAGTTCTCTGTTCTCCGTGGTAACCGCTGGTAGAGCTCTTCTGTGATGAAGGGCATAAAAGGATGCAGTAGTCTTAAGCCTGCGTCCAAGCATGTGTACAGGATATTTCTAGTAACATTCTTAGCTTCCTCGTCTGTACCATAAATAACTGGCTTCATGTACTCCTGTCAAATGGAAGACAAGTTCAATGGCATATGTATTCTTCCTTACATTATTTATTATTATGCTCTTCATGAATCATCTTTAAAAATTCTTCATGGTGAGTTAGTCACAACTACATAGAGATCTTTTTTTCACATAAGCATAACTTGAAAATGTTACCTAACCAAGTACTAGTAGGTGAATTAACATACAAACTTATCTACTCTTTGTGAAAGTTAATCTACATACAGGCACAACACTAGTGAATTATTTGTTTTTTTCATGTACCTATCTTAGATCATTCAACCATTGAAACATACAAATAAATGCACTGTACATATACTTACAAGATACCAGTCACAGAGTTCGTAAAGCCAGAAGTTATAGCAGGCTGTGGTGGCACACTGGAAGTCATAGGTTTCAAATCCTGTGTTGGCTAACGTTACAGCTACACTGAGTCGACTCAGGATCCACAGGTCCATTTCCTTCTCTTTACCACTAAACTGTAAAAAAAAAAAAAACTATATTAAATATCTTCAAATGTAGACTTAATTTGGATATTCTGAAATTCATAGGAGGGAAGAAAATTTCAACAGGAGAAATGCAAACGTACCTGAAATGATGCGTCTGGTTTGAAGTCCTGTCCTAGTGCTGTTAAGGAGAACTTGGTGGCATTCCACAGTTTATTGCAGAAAAACCTGTAGCCTTGTACACGAAGGACATCTAGGTTTATGTCTCGACCTGAAAGGAAATGTTTTGGTACTTTTATTAAATTAAACATAATTTTTGTTTTAGGAAAACAATATGTTGGTTATGTGCATACTTAAATTATATATATAGCCCAATAAATAAACAACCTACAATCCTACTTACATCTTTTTAGAGTATTCTTAATATCACCAAGGTATATTTGACTTAAATTTCAGTATTTGCATTTATTTGATTTTAGTGCCTTCTGTGTTTATAACACATGTATTTACAGGACCAATAATGTACCTTGTGAAGTGTAGGCCACCAAAGCAAATCTAAGTGCATCTGTTCCACATTCTGGTATACCCTGTGGATAATCTGCTTTCTGTTCCAATAAAAGTACGAAAGTTTCATCAAACAATTACATAAACACTTTTTTCACAATATAAATTAACAAAAGCTAGCAAATGCTAGAAAATGTCATAGGAATGAATTTACTGTAAGAAATGTAATTTAAAAAGATTTGGGATTTGAAAGTCTATGTCCACTTAGAGGATGTCACAAGTCCTGTTTCATCCCTGGCCAATTTGTCAGTAAAATTATTGTTACCATAATTAATACAGTTTTCTTTGTTGCATTCCTTATGCTATATGCAGTTGATAAATTGCATATAAAGAAAGTATTAAAACAGTATTGCAAATGACGTAACATTTCATCAAACTGTCTTCAGCAGTTGTATCTGCAGCAAACTTTGATTAAGGACTCACAATTTCCCAATTATTGTAAAACAGGCCCTAGTATACAAATTCAATGGCAAATATTTATCCTTGAAACAGAATTACAATATAAATGTGAACCCCACCTCAGATTGAAAATGACAGAAAAGGTCTTATTGGGACAGAAAAATTGTATCATTAAACCCTAATGATTTTATCCTCAAATGTTCACACCTGTCCTGCCTTTGCTTTTTCTATTTCTTTATCTTCCAGATTACCATCAAGTAACCGCTGATGTAGGTCCTGAAATGAACAAAAAGATTACATGTCTCAAAACAAGTCTTTACATTTAGTTTTTTTTTAACTTTCTCCCTTTAATTTAAATGTACAATAGTTTTCGGTTTCACTTTTAAAGAATTTTCCAAAGCAATGGTTGAAATCAGAATTTCAAATGGCTGGTTGAAATATTTTGTTAGTGTGAAAAGGCAATGACAACAGAGATAATAAAAAAAAATTTTCATGCAGCAATAATTAAAGTGTATAGTTTTGTTTCTAGTTAGCCAAAGAAATTAATCTGTAGTTCTTCATTTAATTATAATGAATTCAGCTTAGTATCTATGGGTAAATTCTCTACAACTCATTTCATTTCAAAATAAAAGGAGGGACATCAAATATATAGATTTATAAATCTGAACTTTTTGTACCAGAGACAGAGAAAATAATCTCTCACCTCTAATGTGATTCCGTAGATGACATCTAGAGGGTCTATCACATTACCAAGAGACTTGGACATCTTTCTGCCATGAGCATCCCTAACCATTGCGTGTAGGTACACCTGCATGGACAAAATACACAATTTTATGAATAATACAAGTAGCAGTTTAAGAATTAATACTTACATTTTTACACAAAGTTTATGAGAGTTTTGGCACTTTCAGCCAGAGGGATGATGACTACTTGCCTCTTTGAATGGTAATTTCCCCATCAGCTGCTGTCCCATCATCACCATCCTGGCAACCCAGAAAAAGAGAATGTCATGTCCTGTCTCCAGTAGAGTGCCAGGATAAAACACCTCAAGGTCTGGGGTCTGTAAAGAAATTATCCCAGGGATAAGACAAATATAAATAAAGATAATTGAAACTGAAACCCTGTATTATATTTTTATTTTTCTTTTGGTTTTAAAGTCCACAAAATTAAAATGACAATTTCAGACCCTTCATTACATTTCCCATTTATATCATAAATATTTTACCTGGTCAGGCCATCCAAATATGGAGAAGGGAAATATACCAGAAGAAAACCATGTGTCCAGCACATCTTCATCTATAATCAATGATTTTAACAAAATAAATTCTTGCTTCACTATTAATAGCAACATTTGGATTTTTTTGATGAGAAAATTGAGCATACCTTGCATCAGCGAAATTTTGTCCCTGGAGACATTAAATCTGGCAGCAGCCTTGTCTTTGGCCTCTTCTTCACTTCTGCCAGACACCCAATATTTATCATCTACATCCTAATAATACAGAATAGGGTAACATTAAAAGACACCCAATATTTATCATCTATTCATCATCCTAATAATACAGAATAGGGTCATACAGATTGGGGTAATATTAGTAAATACCAAGTATTTCTCCTCTTAATCCTAGTAAAATGGGATGACATTAGTGTACACCCAGTATCTATCACCTACTTAGAAACAAACAGTTCTCAAAGAATCAATAAATAAAACAAATAAACAGGGATAATGTTTTCCCTCCCTTCTATATCCAGGATTTAAAAACTTCTTCAATTTAAAAACTTAGAATTCATCAATGCTTAAGTTAGCGCATCTCTCTAAAACACTAGCAACCATCCTCTTCCTCAAACACTAGCAACCATCCTCTTCCTAAATCAATACCCCACATAGCTTAGTTTACACAGATACTTACTAATCCTGGTGGTACGTGCTCATCATCTACTTTCACAAAATAAGCAGGAATACGATGTCCCCACCATAGCTGTCTAGATATACACCAATCTCTGTAAAATAGAAAGGAAAACTGTACTCACAAGTAAAAAGACATTTCATTGTTATAACTACATGTATATACTAAAATGTTAATTTTTTTTTTATCATATGTACTGTGTAGCAATTTAAAATGCTCACTAAATAAATATCCCATGGTGCCCCAATAGGTAATCAGCACATTTTTTATCGTACTGGTTCCTGTATTTACCTGTTGTTTTCTAACCAGTTGTACCATGTTTTCTCCCTTCCATGTTACATCTCAACCTGTTAATTATTACAATTCATCACGTTGTCTTCTTCTCTCACAACCTAATCAGGAAAAAAAAACAAGCATTTCAAATTGTCTGTAGATTCATAAATATATTTAATGTTAGAATATGCAAATTTCATTTGAAATTTCAACATTACTGCTACATATATTACATTTTTTTAAACTAAAAAAAAAACAGACTCTGAGGCAGAAAACAATGCAATGATTTTTTTAAAAATGTTTATTTGTACCTTAACAGCGTCCTGAGACATTTTCTCCATCTTCACGTACCACTGAGGTTTCAGCAATGGCTCTATGATGTCCTTTGATCGACTGTAATTATACAGAAGAGTTTTTAAATATTAACCTTTTAATGCATGTGTTGTGTCTCTACCTCATCAAATAATAAATCATTTCAACGTCATATACTGTATTTATGCAAAATCAAATAATTTGAAATTTGAGTTAAATGGATCGAGTACAAAATATCAAAGTACCTGCATGTTGGTACAACCATGGGGTTTTCCTTTGTTTCTATATATAGACCTATCTTTTTCAGAGCCTCTAATACAGCTTTCCTGGCATGGAATCTTTTCATACCCTGATGAAAACAAAATAAATAAATTCAAGGTGGGAAAAAAGTAATGGGTAGGATATTATATATTTATTAGTGTTTCCTTGAGGATTTTATCGAAATACTGTACCGTGCATTTCATTTTGTTTCAAATCATTTTTTTTTCAAAATTTTCTTACAGAAAATTACCGGTAGTTTTTAAAGTAGCTGATATAATATTAATTTAACCACAATGCTTATTTGGAAATACACTATTTTTTTTAAATTTTAGAATATATAAGCCTATCTGTTTTTCCAGACTTACAGAGAATTCTCCACAGTTATTTGTGATATTCCCATTGTCATCTATGATGGTGATGAAAGGCAGGCCATGTCTCACACCAACTTCATAATCATTTGCGTCATGGGCAGGTGTGATCTTCACAGCCCCTAGAGTTAACAAAATTCCCAATTCCATTAACTACATAAGTCAGAATATCAAAGACGTGCATAAATATAGAAACTTTTAACACTAGTTTTTACTTCAACTGTATGTTCATTGGAAATTCCATCAGATACATGAAGACAGATTCAAGGATTTCACATGCTCTAACCTAATGTTTTTGATATTGTAAAAAATATTAAAATGACAAGTTGCTGTAATTATTTGAAGTGAAAACAAATTAACCTGTTCCAAATGACATATCCACAAAGTCGTCCTGGACTATAGGCATTACTCTGTCTACCAAGGGGTGCCTGACAGATTTTCCGTGTAAATGTTTGTAACGATCGTCATCTGGATGTATGGCCACAGCGGTATCTCCTAACATTGTCTCAATACGAGTTGTGGCTACAATTATCTTCTCATCTGGTAAAAATCAACAAATGTTTGCTATTAAATGGAATTTATTAAGAAATAGCATGGTGAACATGGGAAAAAATAAAATATTTTAACTTTAACTAACCATGAGATCTACCAGTATATCAATACAATTATCAAAATAACACTTTTTGTGACAGAACAAATTGATGCAAATTTTCTGAAATAAAGCCGAAAGGAAAAATAACTGCAATTTCAATTTTTTTCTTTTAAATTTCTGATTGACCTAGTTAAAGATAACTTGATTCCTTGATTACCTGTTCCTTCTACTGGGTAGGCAAATGACACGAGGACTCCAAATTCTACTTTCTCTTTGTACCCTGGTACAGCAAGCATGGTCCTTCCTGTCAGTTCTTTCTTATCCACCTAAAGTAAATAATTAAGTATTTTAAAAATAAGAATCTACAAACATCATCCATAAAAGTGAAAAATGATTTGAAATATATTTTTTAATGAATTCATCGATTTGAAAGAGTAGAACGACAACTTACTTCAATGTCAGAAATGGCTGAATTAAGAGCACATGACCAGTTGACCAGTCGCACACTTCTATAGATTAGTCCGTCATCATGCAAACGGATAAAAGCCTCTGTTACAGCTCTGTAGAGTTTCTACAATTTAACCAATTAGCATGAAATTTGATTTGTTTTGGATGTGATGTACCAAAAAACATATTTTATATGCAATTACAAGATCTTGTTTGTATCACCACTAATTAGTATTTACCGGCTCCATGGTAAAGCAGGCTCTGTCCCAGTCATAAGATCCTCCTAATTTCTTTAGCTGGTGATAAATCCTGTCTCCTTTCCTAAATTACAATGATAAATCATATTTCTGTCAAAGACTGTAACAGAGAGTAAACTATACCAAATAATTCACACAGAAATTATTTTGAAGACTGCGCTTACTCATTTTTCCACTTCCACACATGTTCCACGAATGCCTCTCTTCCCAGATCATGTCTAGACTTTCCCATTTCCCGTTTTAATTTTTTCTCCACGACGACCTGCGTGGCAATACCAGCATGATCACATCCAGGGTTCCACAAAACTGTTTTCCCCTTCATTCTATGCCTAAATAAAAAATAAATAGATTATCAGTTATATAAATGTTGAAGAAAAATATTTTGAGGACTTTCATTAAAGAAATACCGGTATTATCTTTTAAATTTTCATAAATTCATCAGATAATATCATTTATACCATCTAGCAATACAATCCTCTACAGCATTTGTTAGGGCATGTCCAAGATGTAGGGACCCTGTGACATTAGGGGGTGGAATAACCATCATGAATTTCTCTTCATCTTTCAACTTTGTCAAGTCTTTCCCCTTGGAAAATAAACAATATTTACCTGTTTTCATATGCTGACAGCAACATAAAACATATGAAATAAATTCATTCATTCAACAAATCCTTTACCTTGAACTTGATGACACTAAGAAAATGGAATTCAGATATTCTAGGATTAAAGATATTTAGTGTTAAATTCATCAAGGATAAGGGGTTGAGACTTCCAACTGATTTCCACAAATGGTATTCAAGATGTTGATGTTTAAAATACCAAGTTGAACTGTACTTATTAGTTATTCAGTTGTACTTCATTCATGACATTTTCAAGAAGAGGAAGTCTAGTCTAATTGTCTTACCCCATACTCTGGTTTGGAATTCTAGTCTCATTATCTTACCCCGTACTCTGGTTTGGGATTCTAACCTTATTGTCTTAACTCTTAACCCATACTGTGGTCTGGGATTCTAGTCTTATTATCATACTCCATACTGTGGTTTGGGATTCTAGTCTTATTATCATACTCAATACTGTGGTTTGGGATTCTAGTCTTATTATCATACCCCATACTCTGGTTTGGGATTCTAATCTTATTATCATACCCCATACTGTGGTTTGGGATTCTAATCTTATTACCGTACCCCATACTGTGGTTTGGGATTCTAATCTTATTATCATACTCCATACAGTGGTTTGGGATTCTAATCTTATTACCATACCCCATACTGTGGTTTGGGATTCTAGTCTTATTATCATACTCCATACTGTGGTTTGGGATTCTAATCTTATCATATCCCATACTGTGGTTTGGGATTCTAGTCTTATCATACCCCATACTCTGGTTTGGGATTCTAGTCTTATTATCTTACCCCATACTCTGGTTTGGGATTCTAGTCTTATTATCTTACCCCATACTCTGGTTTGGGATTCTAGTCTTATTATCATACTCTGGTTTGGGATTCTGGTCTTATTGTCTTACCCTGTACTCTGGTTTGGGATTCTACTCTTATTATCTTACCCTGTACTCTGGTTTGGGATTCTAGTCATATTATTTTACCCCATACAGTATAATCCCTATTAACCGCCCCATGCGCTTAGAAAATTGCAAACATAGGTAATCAGATTACAGAGCTCACCTCAAAGAATGTTGTCTTTAAATAAGGCAAAGTCACACAATTAACCAACAAAAAGTGTACATTCCAAAATAAAGATATTTAATATGCAATTTTGATCTGATACTTTGAAATAGACATATATAAAAAATCCAAACTAGTTCTTCATGAAAATGTAATTAAAATCCAAGCATCTAAAGCAAATTTGAGAGTTTTCAACCCTTGATGCATCATTTGTGCAAGTTTGGTTTATACAATGTTATACATGGATAAGCCTTATAGTTTTTTGGTAATAGACCTGCACCCATAACTTTTACCTGGTCCATTATCTAAAAAATGTATGTCGAATTCAGCATCCGAAGCAAGTCCATTAGTGTGCATCCTAAGATGTATCGTCCATGCAAGTTTGCTCATTATAGGGCTCATAGTTAATTGGAAATGAAACCTGCAAACTAACCTTTTCACTCAGATTCAGCATCCGAAGCAAGCCTGGTAGTATGCATCCTTAGATGTATCATCCATGCAAGTTTGGTCATTAAACAACTCACAGTTACTTGGAAACGAATCATGCACCAAAAACTTTAACCTGTTCACTCAACCGGAAAATGTGGGTCAGATTCAGCATCCGAAGCAAGCCTGGTAGTACGCATCCTTAGATGTATCATCCATGCAAGTTTGCTCATTATAGTGCTCATAGTTACTTGAAAATGAGACCTGCACCAAAAACTTCAACCTGTTCATTCAACCAGAAAATTTAGGTCAGATTCAGCATCCGAAGCAAGCCTGGTAGTATGCATCCTTAGATGTATCATCCATGCAAGTTTGGTCAACATAGGGCTTATAGTTCCTTGGAAATGAGACGGGGAGACCCACACCAAAAACTGCACCAAAAATGTTAACCTGCTCCAAAAACATTAACCTGGTCATTCCTTTGCTGAAATTGCAGCATCTGAAACCTTGACTGGTACAATGAAACACACTAGAAGCATCTTCCATGCAAGTCTAAACAATATAGGACACAGAAGTATTTAAAAAGAAAACTGCTCCAAACAAGAGGCCCAGGGGCCACATCGCTCACCTGAGCAATTGGCTAGGAAAAAGCACACATCAGATTCTGCGGGGGGGGGGGGGGGGGGGGCTTGATTTTAACCCCCAGGGGGTCATGATTTGAACAAACTAGAATCTACACTACCTGAGAATGATTCCCTATACATATCACTAAACATGGCTTTGAAGTACTTGAAAAGAAGATTTTAAAATGTTTCCCTATATATTCCTATGTAAAACTTTTATTGGCCAGTTGGCCCCACCCTACCCCCGGGGGGTCATGATTTGAACAAATTTGAATCTAGACTACCTGTGGATGATTCCACAGGAGTTTCCTCTTTCCTGTCTTGATGGTTCTTGAGAAGAAAATTTTTCCTATACATTCCTATGTAAAACTTTAATCGGCAATTTTGGCCCCATCCTACCCCCGGGGGTCATGATTTGAACAAACTTGAATCTACACTACCTGAGGATGATGCCACATGAGTTTCATCTTTCCTGGCCCAGTGGTTCTTGAGAAGAAAATTTTTAAAGATTTTTTTCTATATTCCTATGTAAAACTTTGATCGGCCATTTTGGCCCCACCCTACCCCCAGGGGTCATGATTTGAACAAACTTGAATCTAAACTACCTGAGGATGATTCCACATGAGTTTCATCTTTCCAGGCGCAGTGGTTCTTGAGAAGAAGATTTTTAAAGATTTTTCCTATATATTCCTATGTAAAACTTTGATCGGCCATTTTGGCCCCACCCTACCCCCAGGGGTCATGATTTGAACAAACTTGAATCTATACTACCTGAGGATGATTCCACATGAGTTTCAACTTTTCTGGACCAGTGGTTCTTGAAAAGAAGAGTTTTAAAGATTTTTCCTATATATTCCTATGTAAAACTTTGATCGGCCTTTTTGGCCCCACCCTACCCCCGGGGGTCATGATTTGAACAAACTTGAATCTATACTACCTGAGGATGATTTTACATGAGTTTCATCTTTCCTGGCCCAGTGGTTCTTGAGAAGAAGATTTTTTTAAAATGCCATTAATTTTTCTCTAATTCATAATTATCTCCCCTTCGAAAAGGGTGTGGCCCTTCATTTGAACAAACTTGAATGCCCTTTACCCAAGGATACTTTGTAGCTAGTTTGGTTGAAATTGGCCCAGTGGTTCTTGAGAAGAAGATGAAAATGTGAAAAGTTTACAACAACGACAACAACAACGACGACGACACCGACAACGACAGACAACGGACAAATTTTGATCAGAAAAGCTCACTTGAGCCTTTGGCTCAGGTGAGCTAAAAACTTAACCTTAACCTGGGACGCCGACACCGACGCCGAGGGTATTACATAAGCTCCCCCAACTTCGTTGAGGTGAGCTAAAAAGGGGGCGGTTATTTTAATATTCTCCACATAATATTTAATGTCATTTTTTAACTTAAAATAATTCAAAGAACCACTAAAATTATGTTGCACTATACTTTAAGAGAAGATAATCCACCCAAATTATGCTACATGATTAATTTTCCACCGAGAAAGTGGATAATAGACAAGTTACATTTTCATTTTCTTCAAATTTTGGCAGACTTTTGATACGATTCTAGATGATTTTAATCACTGTACAGTGGGCCCTTATTTTCTGATAATAGAAATCAAAGTACTGAAAGTACTGAAAAGCGGTTAGCATGCTTTCATCTAATATGTACCGAAAAAGTGCATAAAATGATGATATTTAAATATGCATATCTTTGTCCAATGTCATCAGAGAAGAAAAACCCAGACATTCCGTTTTTGTAATACTTTACTCAATAGTTAAACCAATAACATTCCAAACTGATGTCACAGATGGATGCAATCTAATTAAAATTAGATGTTCCGAATCCGCTACTGCTTCTCAAACATCTAACAACATCCTATTTGGGGTCATGTAAGAGTGAATCTTCGATTAGGCAAAGAAAATGGTTCCTCCGAAATCCTGGCTAATAGTTCAGATGGGTTTCTTGTTTTCACCACCCAACCAAAACACCCGAGGAGTTTTGTAGTAAAAAGATATGCATTGCAAAAGTTGTGTTATGGATGACGTGTGGGGTATCTTGTATAGTTTGTGCTCTTTCGTTTGATTATTCACGTTTAGATGCCAGAATGCAGAAGATACAAGAAATTTATTCCAAAATTACTTTAATTCAACGTAAGACAGTATCAATAATGATGATATGTAGCCGTGGAATTAATTTGAGAACTGTTTACCGAGGCTTGAATCTACATGGCCAAAGTGTTTGTGTTTACTTGTACATGTATTCATAATTGAAAGGTCGCTCTGATGTGACCCCGAATGGGATGTTAGATGTTTCAGAAGCGGTAGCGGATTTGGAACATTTAAATAAATTTTAATAAGATTGAAATGCATGTTTCAAAATTTAAACATGAGATTTCTTCAGTTTGAAAGACAGGAAGTGCATTTTTAAAAATTCTCTCTTGATGGCATCCAATTGTTCTCTGGATAAAAAAAAATTATGTTGATGTTGAAAATTTCATTGTCTTTTATTCTCTATTGAATCTGAAATTAGGTAATTGTAAAGCCTACTATAACAAACAACTAAAAAAATGACAAGTTAAATTCTTTAGATTAATGGATTTTGAGTAGTGTAGATCTACAGCTGGCTAGTCAGAGAAAAAAGGATGGCTGAGGAGAGACTTTGTAAATGAATTGATATCAGAGAGATTCAGTTGTGTAGGCTCATCGCGGCAATATAATTAACCTGTCAACGAGGGATGCTTACTTTTTCTAGGCAACGGATCCCACCTCTTGAACTTTCAGGAGTCAGCTTTTCTTCTAAAATCGATCATTCTGTATTTTGATACAGATACTGAATACTTCCTTTAGAAATATTATAAACTTCTACTTCTACGGGAAGACTGGCGAGTAAACAAGATTATCAAGCTTTATGAAATATATTTTATTGACTTTTCAAACAAGTAAATGTTCGAATAAAGTAAATGGTATATGAGAATCATTTGAAAGAAGTCTTGCACAATATAAGGCACAATATCTAGATAAGGACATATAAGGTGTTTTTATCATATACTCTTCATGCAATATTGTTCTCAAATAAAACATGAAAAAGAAATTTATGTAATCAATCAATACTATTATTTAAAAATTCAAATGTACATTAAAAATCAGTGTAACTTAAGAAGTTATCAGTGTCACTTTCTTCAATATGTCGGTTAAACAATATACACTGATTTCTTTTCTATCAATGTGCCTCTAAACACCTGTATTTTAATTTTATTCTTCTCAAACGTTTAAAACAATAATCGACAAATTGGACAAATTCAAATTTTAAAAGTATTTTCACAGCTAATAATACGTTCCCTAGGAATTGATCAAATTTTCAAAACTTATAAATAAGAATTAAGTATATATTTTAAATTTTTGCTAATTGCCAAAATTTTTCATACCTCATTCTTCTGTGAAAATAATATCGGTTGATTTTTAGATGAGGATCACAATGCTGATTAAAATTAATATATATTTCTCCATTTTTTTTTTCAAAATTGATTTTACTACTTTAAGTGCTCCATTATTTTTTACAAAACTAATAGTAAGTAATCCCTTATGATCGATTGTTATAAATTATCAAAGACGGAGTAGAGAATTTATCCCTGGGAGCAGAGCTTTTATAATCTGTTTATTAGACAGAGAAGAAAAGAGAAGAAAAACAAACGTTTCATAGTGGAGGTAACCCTATTGTTTCCATAAAACGTTACAAAAAGTGTAAAACTTACAGATGCGTTCGGTGTTTTTATAAAAGCGATTTTCAGGTATTAACTTAATAAATGGTGTTTCTTAATACTTTGGCAAGGAAAATCAAACTCGATCGAGAGATTTGCTGATGTTTTGCAGTCTGTAATAACCTCCAACCTGCTGTATAATAAACTTTCAAAAATAAACTAACAGTTGCCAGAAATCGCGATCGCGCGATACACATGTAATAAGGACCAAATTCTCAGTTCTTAAAAGTAAGTGTTGTAAGTATATTGTCAATGCTTTGGTAAATATACTAATAAGAATTCGATATAATCGTTATAATAGCCACTCTTCATACACAGCATATACTTCGTTAGTACGAAGTGATATACTGTAGTAGGGGCTGGCTTTAATCAGACTTCACAGCATATTGTCAATCTCTAACCAGGGGGCGTATTACGCCGACAGTATACAAATCATTTGCTGAAGTTACCGTTGTCGATAGGTAGGTCCTTGTGGAAGTTTCCGGTTTTGGTTGCAGAAGGATAAGGTTACGAGCGATAAAGCGATGCCGATAGGTAGCGCCTTATGGAGGTTTCCGGTTGCCGACACATGCCATATAGCGGCTAGCGAAGCTAACCGCTTAAAAAGACATAATGGGGCGCTTTTAGGGGCAGGGGCGGTTAATAGGGATTATACAGTACTCTGGTTTGGGATTCTGGTCTTATTGTCTTACCCCGTACTCTGGTTTGGGATTCTACTCTTATTATCATACTCCATACTCTGGTTTGGGATTCTGGTCTTATTTTCTTACCCCATACTCTAGTTTGGGATTCTTATCTTATTGTCTTACCCCATACTCTGGTTTGAAGAATCCTGACTGGACCCACCAATCATACCAGGCAGCCTCCACATACTGGGGACTGTAAGCATCAGGCATGGAGGAGTGGACATCTAAAATACACGAAGAATGAAAATAAGGAGAAAATATATGGATATAACGAACAGTATTCTAGCTCAAAAGTCCATTCAAACAATACAATCAGTAAAAGAGCAAACAAGGACCTCTAAAACATCAAAGGTGGGATCAGGTGCCCTGGAGGAGTGAGCATCCCCTGCTGATCAATTATAAGGGAATAAGTACAATTAATTTGGTCACAACACCTGAAATATTTGTTTTATATGGTGTCTCAAGGTGACTTTTGGATAATTTCTCTCAGCGGCATCATAAAAGTTATCGTTTTTCTGTGTATCTTAACTATACATGACAAAATTCAAAAGTTCTTGTTTCATAAAATAAATAGCATGTCTACATACCACTGTTTACCACATAGAATACTAATGACATTCCTGTATCATTTTGATTTGATTGATTTGACATGTTGTTGACTTACCTTTCTTTTCCCCAGGTTTTGTTGGGATATCATATGTCACTTTCACTTTCTCTTTCCCAGAATCTTTCTTTTTCTTGTTAGAGAAACATAAAAAGATTCAATATATTTTTAATGGCAATCAAATTTTAAACATGTTCAACTACACTGTCAATCTACTGAGGGGCTGTGTAGCACAGCAATCTTTGGTCAGGTTGGGCACACACCGCCAAATGGTCATTAACCCCCTTTTGGTAGTCAATCGCCCATATCGGCGTCTTTATTAACGTACCAAATGGTGGTCTTTTTTATTCAAATCCAATTTTCATTGAAATAAAGCAAAAGCGCATTTACTTAGGCATTGGGGAATTTTAATTAACATATTCCTCGCACATTTAATAACATTTAGTCAATTTTCCATGTGGAATTTCTGTGGAACTTCGTAGAAACGAAACCCACAGATGTTTGTGACAGCGGAACTATTTGCTCAAACAATACCAAAAAATATATTCTTGTGTATAGTTCGGTAAAAAATACATTTAGACAAGTGATATTAGTCTAGAGAAGTAACTTTTCGAATGATCCTTCAATCTGCGTCTATATAAATCTGTATAAAATCCCGTTAAAAACGGGCTCCTTGTATCTTACTCGTATGGTGGACACTTCTTGCCATAATATTCATTTTTTCTACATTTGAAGGTAACATTTATTCTTTATTTTCTTTTAGGATGAAGTTACGATTTCTGTGTGACCCTTTGTGGTTTAGTATGCATATCTATGATGTATCTACTATATTTATTGAATATTTTTGAATAAAAGATTTACAAAGTGACAGTTACAATTATTCTTGTTTTTATTCCAAGATTATTGTTTTCGAACGATTATTTTATCAAGAATTCACTGCATATCCTATTTTTATAAAGAATAAAGCCATTGCATACGAAATAAACGAATCAAAAGCAAATTTTTACCCTTCCTCAAATTTTACTTTTTGAAACTTAACACTAATGGGCCTCCGTAGTTAAATCAGTCTTTTGACACAAGTTCGGAAGAGATCGTGATTTTTTATTGGTTTATATAATTGATCGGTTGCCCGGATGACAGAAATATGAAGATATAAACATGATTGATAGGTGCAACTACGCGCGAGATGGAGGAAATTTTTCTTTTTAAGTTAAAACACAGAAACCGCATATTTGTTTACATAGGTGACGATTTTGTCAAATATTTAAAGGACACTGCGCTAAAAAGTCCGCGTTGAAATTTTGATTTCTTTCGTTCAGAGTACAGATAAATATCTATATTTTATTCCCCATGAGTTGAAATTATGCGCCATTTCACGTCATTCCAGAGAAGTGAACAGATCGATTTTTCTCTCCCATTTGGTGGTTAATAAAGACGCCGATATGGGCGAATGACCACCAAACGGGGGTTAAATGACCAATTGGCGGTGTGTGCCCAACCTGTTGGCGTGAACTGACAGATGTAGAACTGTCAATCCAGAAAACACTTCAGAAATATTTTCAAAAACCTCTCTTCATGTGAAATTAAATATTCTTATTACCTCTCCCTCCTTCTTTGTTTGTTGTTTTTGTGCAGCCAGTTTTTCCTGCTTTGCCTGAAACTTTGCCAGCTTTTCTTGCTTGGCTTTCTCTTTCTTCAGTTCCTTCTCACTTTTGACACGTGGTAGAGATTCTCCGTCTCCACCCGCAGTCTGGGGCTGACTATTGTCGCCCGTCTTGTCCGCCATCCTGATGTGATTGTTTATCTACTGTATCAATAAATGATACAAATCAAAATAGGGTTATATAGGCCTAATTATCTATTATTGTTACGCCGTCATTACATCATGATCATCACCGGCACTTTCGTTATGATTTTTTTTAATTTTATGTATGCAGAGCCCGACCTAAAATATTTTTCGCTCACCTGTGCCTACCAACGGTAACATCCTCTGCTGAGAGGAGCTTCTCAATTTTTAAACTGTATCTATCATCCAGTTTTAATCAACTAAGGGTATCATCCTCTGCTGAGAGGAGCTTCTCAATTTTTAAACTGTATCTATCATCCAGTTTTAATCAACTAAGGGTATCGGTTTTAGCCTGGTACCCCTTGAAATATAAGATTTCAAAAGTGATACTTCTAAACAAGAAGGGGTGGGGGGAGAGGGGTTTAACAACAATCAATGCACTGTACATTGTAAGATAAGATAAGATAAGATAAGATTTATTAATACCAATTTGGGGCCCATCAGGGCATACAAGTAATAAGGAAAAAAAAACATACAAGCAGAAATTCAAAATTGATAGCAGTAACTAACAAAAGATAAATGATGTTACAGCAGTTGGGGATTACAACATACATAATCAATATACTGTAAATAAAAGTTTGTTTAAAGTATTTCTATATATTACTCTTTTGTATTTATTTGTTTCTTTGTTTAACATTGCATAATTTGCTATTTCTTATTTTAAAGATATTGATTAAAAAATTACCCAGCTTGATAAGCAACATGTCATCTTCATTAGACATAATCCATAAAAAATTTTCTTTATTTGTTAAAGTATAGAAATTTTTATTACTTTTAGCAATAATATTAAAAAAGTCATCTCTATCATGCTTATATAATGGACATTCAATCAGTGAGTGTATCTCATCTTCCACACAGTTCATGTAGCACATTCTACAAATTCTTTCATTTCTTGCAAGGGTGGTTTGCTCTCCAGCAGAGTTTAGTTTTTTTTCGTACCTTCCACTTTCTATTCTGAGGTTATGTGAACTCACTCTAAATTTGCATATAATTTTTCTTTGTTCAAAATTTTTTAATAATAAATACTTTTCAATTTCAAAACTTCTTTTTATATAGAAATATGTTGTAAGTTTACCCGATAGACAACCATCATCTCTTTGTTTAAACCAATATTGAAGGAAATCTTCTCTAATAATTTTTTTCAGATGTTTCTTTAAGGTTATTAGTTTCATTGATTTACATCTTGACAAATCTATGCCCATTCTGTTACAGAAATATGTTACATTTGAAATATAAATTTTATTTACATTACAACTGTCCAAGATTAATGCTTTCTTTGTATGCACTGTATAACAAAGAGTTTTCAGGCATGATTTCCAGTTTCTGTTTCCAGTTTCGATATAATTGTATATACATGTGTGTGTGTGGGGGGGGGGGGGGGGGTCAGAGAGAGAGAGAGAGAGGGGGGTCGGGGAGAGATCTAATATACGTCAGAAAAGAACGAGGACGCATTTGTTATGAATTCGACATGAAAATCCAATGATATGTTGCGTTGTGTTTAAGCATTCCAATACACTGTATGTGTTTTTGATTTCCTATAAAAATATACTATGAAATATAGTGATACGAGTCATGGATCATTTGGTGCAAAATATTTTATTTCTAAACAGGTTTTTCTATAAAGTCTTTACCATTTTCGAGTCAAATAACCGCAACTTTCAGATTTTATTAATCATAAATGCGTTTTCACTCAATAAAATGAGAGCAAATATTGGTTAAAAGGGATCAGTAGACCATCAAAGCATAAAAACCGTATGCACCCTCAAACTCACAAAAACATGCATCTACCTTTCACACGTAATCTATTAACACTTTATGATAAAAATACCTACTAAAAATTACGGTGAAATCACTAATTTTCATGGGTCTTAATTTTCGTTATTTTGGCGAGGAATGGAGAGACCCACGAATTCATGACCACCACGAAATGTAAAATTTCATATGCATTATTACTAAACATACTGCAACCACGAAATCAAATCCCCATAAAATATTTTTTCCACAAACCTCGAAAAATTTGACCCCTCCGCTCGAAAATATGTGATTTCACAGTATGTGTAACAGCATAAAGCGTATGTTTGTTTGAAGGACAGTTTTTCACCAACGTTAGTTTTAGTCTTAAAATTTTATTTAAAGTCATGTAGTGTCAGTTGTTTTTTTGGGGGGAGGGAGACAAAACCAAATCGTCACAATAAATAATTAATTATTGGTGAAGATTACGGGAATCCGATCCGATGTCTGTTAATATATATGCAGCTGGCACAAGAACCAGATGAAGATTGAGAGGGAGGGAGAGACCAATCTCTCACAGCTAGGCTTTTCCAAGTCGGAAAGGGGGTTTAAAGGTCATTTCAAGTTCCTTTCCTATGTAAATAAAATATTTCTTACAATCCTAAGGGAGTAGGGTGAAGACCAACATTCTCTATAAAAAAGAAAACAAAACGGAAAATCAAATGTATAAAAACCACTTTTTACCAATTTAATTCCTAATTCTTTAATAACATTTGTGGTCTTATTTTTTTATCACCTAAAATTGATTCTATATTAAATTTTAAAGAAAAAATCATAAACAGGCATGAAACATTCTTCAATGAAATTTGAACTTCCATATTAGGTATTTTAAATAAATGTATGTGATAAATAGAATACTACATACTAAAATTCGTATCATATGTCATATATCAAGGCTCTCGGGCTTATATTAATTCAATTCATTTATTGACAACACCATCATACATTGGCATATAAGGCTTAATATGGGGCCACTCGGGCTGATCAGTATGACATACGATAGGTTACAGATCTTGGACAGATCTTGGATCTTGTACATGCGATGTACTTTCTTGAACGTGAACTTTAACCTCCTTTGGGAGTTAGTTATTAGTTAGTTAATTTTTATTTTAAAATAACTCTTTAAACCATAAAAAATGATAAGAAGTATAGAGAAAAAGTAAAATAAAAGGCATGTTCCAGACAGTATCGATAATCTTTTTTTAATGTGCTGGGGGACAGGAGGGGGGGGGGGATAATTGAAACTTACCTGGAAAACTGAACATCTTTTATAACAACTTTGACGAGCAAAAAATAATAATAATAATAATCAAAACTTGGCTAAACATGTATCTTTTTGTTGGAATATTAAAAGTGGTAGGTTCCGGGGATTCGGATGAAATATGTAATGTTCAGTATTCAAGCATAATTTATTAAAAAAAATCAAACAAAAAAAATAGACGCAGACGCAAACACAGCTAGATCTCTAAAAGATCAGAGGTGGGATCGGTAGCCATGGGGGAGTAAGCATTCCCTGTAGATGTCATGATCGGGAAACAACTGGAAACTCCTACATGAACCTAAAACTACGCAGCTTTTTAGTAGTATAAAAAAAATCACAATCAGAATCTCCGATACTAAATGAGTATGACTGCGCCCTAGGCACCTGTGGTTTATGAGATAAAATATAAAGTTATCTTTACCTTTCTATGCCTAGAGCAATGAGGCCATGATTGGCCAATAAAATCTAGGCTATTCAAAGTTCTACTACACCTTGAACAAGGATAAAATTCATTTCAAGCTCTCAAGTTATACAAAGAAATTAAAAAAAATATCCTTTATATTGATTTATTTTAGTACGGTATTTATCATTTATTTGCTGTACTGCTAGTTCTGGTTGGACGAAAACGCAGTGGAGCGAAATTTAATGTTACCTATCTCGTTTGTCGCGAGATTACACGAGTGCATCGACTGTATTCACTTCCGGTGAATATATTTTGATCGTGTGCATGTAAAATATGCTTTATCCACCTGGAAATAATCATGCTTGGGGACCAAAGCACATTTTATTAACGGTAAAATCAATATTTTTATTTGCATGCATATAATTTTCGAATTTAGGGTGTCAAATGAATCCATGTTTGAGGTGTGTTTCAATCACATATGTTCTATGACAACCGGCTAACGTGTCAATAATACATCATCACATCGAATAACACCTTTAAACACGTGTTTGATTCCCATTGTAACTAAATTAGAACAAACTTCCATAACCTGATAACTGTGTTTTCTTAGAAGAAATGTCCATAGCTAAGTTGACAGGCACAACCCCATCATGAGATTTAGATATGTAGTTTAAATTAGTTATAAGGCTTAGTTAACTAAGGCTTAACTAAGCTATTCAGAGTAACATGATAAAGCTATTTATATGCAGTTTTTTGTCAAAAGTGCTTCTTCCTAGAAATGGACAAAAGGTTGCAAGTATTTGACTATTTAATTCATATATTTGTAACAAGAGAGGCCCATGATTCCAACCTGTGTGCCCTGAATTTTCAGTCAGGTGCTTTAACAGCTAAGCTGTCTGTTCAGCAATTGAACCTGCCTGACCACTACACTTCTCCCTTCTTAAAGCATCTCTGGTTCTTCTGTGGCAGTTCTTCATCTTTCACATCCTGGTCATGGAACAAAATTTTATGGGAGAGGAAAAAGATGCAATGGACTTGAACAGAGTTTGAACCCAGGCCCCCCGAATCTCCAGTTGAATGGTCCATGTGAAATGCGAAAAATTCTATATAAAAAGCTTTATCAAGCTATTTTTAATAAACAAATTAAATTCAGAACAACGTTTTGATTAAGGGAGCTCTTGCTATTTATACAGCTAAATTCAAACTACCTGTATAATGTATATCATCAGATATTAAAATGAGATGTGATACAGCTTTTCTGATCAAGTTACTGTTATAACGATAAATTTCTTATGTACCTTTCTACAATCAACAAATATTATGAAAGAAAACTTTCATGAGCAATTATATATAGGTATTTCTTGAATTCATTAAACAAGCATTTTTCCAAGGAACTTTTTGTAACGAAACTTTTTGTAAAGAAAAAAACGTCACATATACTGTGTATGACATCATCAGTTTTAGAGAGTGGAGATATGGATTCAGAAAACCAAAGAGTGGTGATCCAGAAAGTTTGATCATGACGTCACATGATTGTGTTAATTCAACAGTAAAAAAAAAGACTAAAATTGAGTGATACACAGTTGTGCATATAATAAAATATATTATATAAGAGGATTATTTTCGTAATTTTCATTGGCTGAAAGGACGTCACGTGATATTCCTCCTTTTGTGATATCGACACGAAAGCTCGTCCGCGGAAAATGATATCGCACGACACGCCATTTGGTTGCAATGAAGTTACGTAGAACGTGACATCATAATATAAGAAGCGTGTTTTTAACCATTGTGACGTTATGACAGCCAAGTCTGTTTAGTTAGATCTGTGTCAGTGCATTGACTTTGAGTGATTATATAATATAACTATTATGGACTTCAGTGAACGGTCAATGTGTGATTATAAGGACTCATGGCAATTGATATTGACCTCAGACACAGAAAATGATAGCAACCTCGCAGGCTCGGTCGCTATCACTTTCTGTGTCTTCGGTCAGTATCAATTGCCATGAGTCCTTATAACCACATATCGACCAACACTGAAGTCCATAATTGTATATTATTATACCTCTACTGATAATACTTGAATTTGATTGGCTGGTAAGAAAACTTTAAAACACAACAATGACTCCAAATGGTACTGTTTACAGCAATAAGGACCTAGCTAGGAATCATTGCACGTGGGATATAATGACCCGGTCATTATAATTAATGACCGCTGAATAATGACCTCTTAATCAAAAATTCCGTTTTGAGTGAATTAAATGCATAAAATAGTAATCATTCGAGAAAACAATATGTTTTTAAAATTGTGCATGGTCTGTTTTGCATTACCATACAGAATACGGCAAAATTTTATCATTAACTTAAACAGTTTACTCATTTCAAAATATCGTTTCAATTCAGTTCTGGAATGTAGAAGCGGCTCTGTAAAGAGTTGAATTCTGTGTTAGATTTTGACTGGGTAGAGAAAAAGTAATCGTTAGTTATAACAATGTATGTCGCTATCAACCAAATATAATTTTAGTCAGTAAACCATGATGCAAAAACTTACACGACTTGCAGACGTCAATGTAAACAACTTCACTTAACTGAGTGTAGCAAATCCTGATCCCGATCAAAGAAAGAATTGATAATGGTTAGAGATTCATACTTTTCAATAGATATCGGTATAATAAAACAATTGATTACCCCTTCTGAGTTCAACATGGTGAAATAAGGACCCTCGACTGGCCCACTCGATGACCTGCCCTGACCTCAGCCGCTATGTGGCCTCGGTCAGGTCAGGTCACCTCGTGGGCCAGGTCTCGGGTCCTTATTTCACCATGTTGACCTCAAAAGGGGTAATTAATTGTATAATATCAACCAATGACAGTAAATGAAATGAACCAAAACAAATAAAATTTGATATTTATTCAGGAGACTTCAAATGAATACAGCTGCACTGAACATATGTATAATTATCTTGAAATTCTTGAAATTTATTTACTTTATCAAACCTAAAATCCTTGCATTTTTATCTTGATAATATGTTTCTTGATGAAAATGTTTAATTAAACTAGCTTTGATGACATTGTTCACTGTATCTGGTATTGCAATTTGCAACCGACTTAGAAAATTTTTTAATAAGTAAACCTTCCTTTACATTTTCTCATTGATACTGTTCGTAAAAAGTTTGTTTTGTCAATTGTTACAAATGTGTCAAGGGAATCAAAGTCTTGTTTAACATGCTTAAGTATAAAAAGATTTTCTAAATACTGATTATTCACATATTGATTATATGTCATCCTAGTTTTTCTTGCCTTTTCAGATCAGCCTTCTGATCAAGGGGACGCTTACTGATGTAATATCTTTGAATGGTGCAAACATCGGTAGTGTTATAGGTAATGCATATACTTTTAAAGAATTTTTTACTCATCATAATTAACATTGTTCATAGATATAGTTGAAAATGAAAGCATAAATAACTTAATTTTTCTATCTTTTTATTAAGTTAGTAAGATAATTAGATATATTAGCATTGATTAGTTGACCCAGTATCTCTTTTTAAATTTTCAGGTTCCAATGAGGTGGTGTTCATTAACTTTTATGCCGACTGGTAAGTCTTTTTTCAGATCTGCTAAACTTATGTTAAACTTATTTTTCAATAAATTCTCTGTGTTTCTATCTAGATTAAAAAAATCAGCTTCATCCAGTTCTAGTCATAACTTCAATGAATAAATCCAGATGTCAAAAGTAGATGAAATCTGGTGGTTTTTCATATGAAATATGTGGAAAATATTTTGTATTTACGGTACTTAAAAATCTGTAACAATTAACATGCTGTTATTGCCTCACTTTTAAGAGATAGAAGTTTTTATATTTATTTTTGGTGTTTATGGTAATTAGGGCCCCGCAAGGATTTGCGGGTGCCCTATAGTAATCACTCTGTCTGTCCGTCTGTCTGTCTGTCTGTCCGTCTGTCCGTCTGTCACTGTTCCGTCCACAAATTTTCTGTTTTTTGCTAATAACTTTTTTTATGGTTGCCCAATCAAGTTCAAATTTGGTATGGTAGTTCAGTAGGCAGAAATACATATTTTGATGCTAAGTTTGTCTCTCTACATCTTCTGGTTTGGAGCTGGGGTGGTGGGGTAGATTCCTTAACTATGCATAATGAATGGGCAAAGAGAGATAACTGCTGATGTTCCCATTGTAAAGTGAATGCTGCTATGAGTCCCTCGGGATTAATTAGCTTTCCTCCTGAATAAAATCTAAAGCATTATCTTTATCTGTCACATTCAGATTAGTTACTGTACCAGTAGCCTCTGTCTGCAAATGAACTTTGTTTTTAAGTTAAGGTCAATTTTGGATGATGTGCACATTCTCTGAAATATGGATTTAAAATAATATTCATACTTTATTTAGGTTAAATACCGTACACAATGATATATGATAATTTTATTGAATTCTAAAATCAAGATATATGTTAAGATATTCTTTCTTATTATCACTATTTCATTTTCTTTTTTCTTTTTTGCTGCCCTTATGCTCTTAATTTTAATAGGTAATCACATAGTAACCCCATTCTGTCAGAGCTGAAAAAAGTTCTTATTGTAAATTTAGAAGAAAAGGATGAGAGGGCAGTACAATTAATCCCCTGGGATTAATTATCGTGCTTGCTGCAGAAAATTTAGAGGCTTATCTTTATCTGTCACATGAAGATTAATGAACACCTTTGTCTGTAACTGATGTTTGTTTTGAAGTTGAGGTCAGCCCTGGGTGATATTTGCATTCACTGAAAGCTTGCATTTTATAAAACACCTATAAATCTTTTAAAATTCACATTTAATTTAGTTTTTTTTTTTTATAAGACATGAGGTTTTCCCTGTTTTATGTAAATACAAGGTTACTATTTACAGGTTTTGGGACATTCGGGAATTATCTTGAAATTTTAAAAATATTGCAACAGTTGTAACTTATAATCTTCATATATTTTTTAAAAAAGTAATCAAGTAAAACTCTCATTCAATGAGCTGCACCCTTATATTTCTACCCCTCAGCGGGGCCCTTGCTGACTGGTCAGTTTTCTAGTTAAGACGAGCTTCATTGGTAATATTGAAGATGTCTCTTTTTTTTCAGGTGTAGATTTAGTCAGATTTTAGCACCTGTCTTTGAAGAAGCATCTAATAAAGTAAAAGAGGAATTTCCAGTAAGTTAATTAAAAGAAATGTTTTTAAACATTTAAATTGATGATTTGATATTTTATATTACATAATTGTACTGTCAATATTTAATTTCAGACTCCAGGAAAAATTGCTTTTGGCAAAGTAGATTGTGATTCAGAATGTAAGTAAATATTGCTTTAGTAAGACTATGAAAGTTTTATATGGATTAAGTGCAAATGCTCTTCTATCCTCTTGATCAAACCAGGAAATTATGTCAGTCATAATTATAGAAAAGATGTTCCTGTTTTAGAAACAGTAAGCTGTTAACAATTGTTTCATTATGTTGCACAAGTGCATCTTTAAGAACAGGAATGTATGTACAAATGTCATGAATATTGTACACTTTTTAAATGAAATTTGCTTTTTTCCCCTTTTCATTATCTGTATAATAACAAGCAAGTTTGCAAATAAGCTGTTACATGTGCAACGTCTGGGAGAATATTTTTCTCTGATCTGTGTATTAAATTTTATTTAAAAGTGTGAATTGTATTGTTTTCATGTGTCTTTGTAGCTGATATAGCCAGTCAATATCATATATCAAAATACCCAACACTTAAACTTGTTCGCAATGGACAACTTATTAAGAAAGAATACAGAGGCCAAAGATCTGTTGATGCCTTGGTTCAGTTTATTAAAGATCAAGTCAGAGATTCAGTTCAACAAATTGACTCATTGGATAAATTAGATGAATTAAATGTAAGTTGCAAAAATAATTTCTGAATTTTATGACTATGACATAACCTTTTAAAAAGGGAATAGATTAAAGCTAAAATGTGATCAAATCCTAAGTAATTCAGTTTCAAATGACATGATCGATAAAAAAAATTGGGGGGAAATTTGCTTTATTAGACTCTTAATCTAAATTGTGTTAGTGAATGGCATGTACATTAAGCTGATGCTTTTTGTTGTAGGAAAAAAAGAGACATATAATTGGATACTTTGCTGATGTGAACTCTGATAGTTATAGGTTATTTACAAAAATAGCAAGCACTTTACGCGAGGAGTGTGAATTTCATTCTGCAGTCGGGTAATTCTCTTTTTTTCATGCTCAATTTCTCATCCACTCATGAAATACCTAATCCATAATGATATGATAGCTTCATGATTTGAAAGGATAATACAGGCAACATCAGATTTGAAATTAAGGCGCAAGATGAAATTTTAGGTCATTGTATATAGTTGAACTTCAGTGTCTTGAACATTAATATATCTCAAATACTTGTAGCATGGAAAGGGGGAAGTCACTTGAAAGTCCTGACCACTTTTTCTTTTAGTATTCTACCCTTAATGTTTGTAATCCCTGGATATTGAGAAGTTTTCTTAAGTCCCTTTGAGATCAAGATATTGGTGATTCAATGTAAGTAAGAAGGCCATAGTTTTAATGTGTTACTTTTCTTGCTGTTACAGACCAGTTTCTGAGTCAGAGAGGTCCATGGGAGACAGAGTTGTTTACAGAGCACCTCAGGTATATTGAAAAAAATCATTAATGTTACACATGAATTTGTAGGGGTATATTTTTAAAAACTTGAATGTGTCTATGAGCATGTGTGAATGATGTGTATGTGATGTTGGGGGTAACTATCTTGGGCTGATTCCCACTGAAATATTTCCTTCATTTCAAGAGCATGGGAGGGAGGGGTAAATATATTAGGCTGTAAACATTTGTTGTCAAATATAACCTTAATATATTCTAAATTTTTTGAATTCGGAATTGAATATTGTTTTGCACTTTTGGCTGTGAAATGAAGGAGAAAATGTGAAACCTTTTACATTGTTAATTCACATCCAGTAATAATTCTTGATTTCCTCCAGACGACCCACCAGGATATTGCCTTTATCGGTAGTCTGACAGATTTTGATGGTCTTCTGAACTGGGCTCAACAAAACTGTGTCCCTCTGGTCAGAGAGATCACATTTGATAATGCTGAGGTCTGTATCTCTACATGTATTTGTTTTCATCTCTATAGAAAGCTAAATAAAATCAGTTTCCTCAAAGGTTTTGGAAAATTCGTTTTTTGTGTCCCTTGGGTAGCATATTAGACACTCTGGGATCACTTTGTGTGATGTCTATCTACATGTAATCACATATAACAGTTGATGCTGTTTTGTTGCAGGAATTGACAGAGGAGGGATTACCATTTTTGATTCTGTTCCATCACCCAGATGACAAGGACATTGTTCAGAGATTCTCTAATGTTGTCCAACAACAGCTCAAGAGTGAAAAATGTAAGATCACATTGACAGTAGCATTGTAATCTCGAACAATTTCCAATACCTCATTGTAAATTAATTGCCAGAAATTTTAAGCCAGATCACAATGAAAACAACTTAAGAATTCTTGGGTTACAGTGAAACTACATGGTATTACTATGCAGTATTTGTTCAGACATGGACAATAATATTTTCTCTGATTTCAGCCTCTGTGAATTTCCTGACTGCTGATGGTCAGAAGTTTAAGCACCCTCTTCATCATCTCGGTAAATCTGAGTCGGACCTACCTGTCTTGGCTATTGACAGTTTCCGTCACATGTATTTGTTCCCACACGATGTTAAAAAAGATTTAGAGTAAGTTGTCTTATATGTCTTAGTTGTCTGTATGTCAGAAGACTCATTCTTTTTAAGAGGATTTTAAATCTTTATTCTATGTTTGCACTTTGATTAACAAATTCTTTAAGATGACTATCTTAAAAATGTTTTGAATTCTTGTTCGAAGGACATGATAAGAATTCATGTAAAAAAAAAAAAATAATAAAATATGAAAGAATGTTCTTTCAGAACACCAGGATTATTGTCCCAGTTTATAGCTGACCTACATTCAGGAAAACTTCACAGAGAATTTCACCATGGACCTGACCCCACAACTCCATACCCTACTCCCCCACCCCCTGGGGTAAGTCTCAGAGAATATAATTTAGAAATTTTTCCAGTTGTAAAATTTATTTTCAATAACAATCACAATTGTATAAAGTACATATGAAACATTTTATATTTAATTTTATTTTGAAATATACATATTAAAATAATGTTTTAAAAATTTTAGTCTGATAATGCTGAAGGACAACAGGAACAAAAAATTGACCACATCCCCCATGATGTCAACAGAGACAACGCCCCCAAACAGCCCACGTCGCCGCCCGAGTCAACGTTCAGGAAACTGGCCCCTTCTAGAAACAGATATACTATTCTGAGGGACGAGTTATGATGGCATTCCTAGTGGTGAAATGATTTCTTTAAATTTAAAGGATCAGTTAGCAAAGACAATGCCATTTTAAATCAATACTGGACAAGCACACAAATAGAACTCATCTTTTTTTGTCCAAACATTCATGTACTCAGTTAAGTACATCATTCAAGTTGATGTTCAATGTTAATGCATTTGTAAAACTGATCTCGTGTAATTATTGCTGTTGAGTTCGTGTATGTGATGCTCTCCTTGACAAGGAATTAAGAATGGTAATATATTTTTTTCATCATGTTTAAATACTGGTTCATCTTTTTTAAAATGGTTTAGGTTAATGAGGGTGTTTATAAGAAATTTTTTGTCAGGTTCTGCTTTTATATTCTTATAGGTGCAGAGATTTTTTTTTAACTTATTGATTTTTTTCAGTTCTGTCCATCCATATCCAATACTTGTTACATACATTACAAATTTACATGTATGTAGACTTTATAAATAATTATATTTCATGTGATCATTTAGTAGGATATAGGAAATACATGTATGTCTCTAAAATGTGTCTTTTGCAATATATAAACTGTCCATTTTCAAAATATGAGAAATACCAAATTTACAAGTGTAAAACTTTTTAGAAAGTTGTTAAATGTATTTGGTGTTCGCACTTCTTTTTTATGCACCAATCAATATGTCACAGAAGTTTGAATTCAAAATTTATTGTTTACATTTTTTAGTCATCAGTTTTTCCCACATACATGTTTAATTGTTCTTGTTCATAAAATATGTCTTGGTTACTTTGTATCAATTTTTGATGAAAATTGCCTGCTTTAAGCAACAGAAAATCCAAAACCATTCTAAGCACTTTAAACAGAATAGTTGTAGAGTAAAAATTTCAACTGTTTGTATAAAAACATAATTGCCAAATTGCCAAACTATTCAAGATTTTATAAAATGTTCACTTTCAGTGAATAAGTTCAAATCACTGATGTTTCATGTACATATATGTTAAGTGTATGCTCCTTTATGTGGGTGAAATCATTTTTTAAACTTTTTTGTTCATTTTTTAAGAATTATATTTAAATAATGTCAAATGACATAATAAAATATTTTCTGAAAGTTTTCTTCAAATATTGTTGTGTAGCTGTAATATTTAATCAGACTGCCCAGATGTATCAACAGTTAGCTTCTGTAATCGGTATCATTCATGGTGATGGAGTCTGCTTACCTCATAAACTTTAAGGAACTCCGATCCTTAGCCAGGAAGGATAACTCTTTAATTTATAAATAAATTAAAAAAAGTCTAAAAATGAAGCTTGAAAATGAAATCTTTTCATGCAACAATTTTCATTTTATACCTCTCAATGTGCTTCAAGGTTCTATGAAGTTCTCAGATACATGTAGGTCCTATAAAAAGTCAAAATTTTTACCCCATAAAAGTATTTTAGAATTACATATTTAAAGAAATTGAGGTTCATTTTAATCTAATCATAGATTACCAATGTTTATTAACATGATATGAAATAAGAAGTGATTTATGGTGTTTTGCAATGATAGAAAAATCTTTATATACTATGCATTGTAAAATCAGCCAAGTAAATAGAAGAAATTAAAGTACCTTAAATACAATTTCTTCAAAAGGCTGGATACCTACCCGGTATATTTTTTATTTCAAAAATGTGTTTGTTGATCAAAGAACTATATGCGGTATATTGCTATATTTGCCCGGTATTTTAAAAACTTCCTGATTTTTTATAAATTCAAAAATGTGTTTGTTGATCAAATTTGAAAATTTATGGAAAATGCATACATTATATTAAAATATTGTAACACACATGTTTTTTTACTCAATATCGTTGTACATTTTTCTGTAAAATTCATAAAAAAATGAAATTTAGGTCATGTTTGTGATGTCATATAAATGGCTATTACTTATTTATTCCTTTGAAGTCAATATATAAAATATATTAACTTTAAAAGTGAAGTTCTTTGAATAGGAAAATGCATAGTAATTGTTTTTATTCGCATTTTCTGAAAATTAATTAGAGATTTACCAATTTTCCCTATATAAAATGATTAACTTTAAAAGTGAAGTTTGAAGAATTATCGTGGATAAAAACTCTTTGATAATTCAGAGACATTTTTGTGAGCATTTTCAATTAGTCAATGCCTGATTTTCAGAACCTGAGGAGCGGAGTACCTTAAAAAACAAATGAAAATGTTTTTGTCAAAGTAAACAACAGCAAAATACAACTGAAAAACAGAATTTAAAATAAGGTAAAAAGGATTGCTGAATATGAAATGCCAAAGGAGAGTGAATACATGTTTATATGGAATGCCCTCCTGCATCAGTATTGGACAATTTAAGGATCAGTGTACTTATGCTGCAGTTCTTATGAATGATATAATGAACTTGCCATTAAATTCTTTGCTTTTGACACTGATCATGAGTTATTGTACAGATATACCAAACCCCAGTTGCTGCCATAAGAAATCTTGAATACAGGAATGCTCTTTTAATGTTGTTATATGTTATGAACCTGAAAAAAGTATTGATTTTAAAATAAAATGAAGGTCCGGGTAACTATTAATTCTTTGCTTTGACCCCCTCCCCTCAAGATGGGATTGACTGGTATCATCACCATAATACTGTACACCAACTTTTATTCACTTGTGAGAAATACCTGTAAGATACACATCTACTCACGAATAATTATCGCTGCAAACCATTTATTTTGCTTTGTTTTTGAAATTGTTTCCTCAGACAGGTAAATTAATCATCAAATTGGTGAATCGCAAATAAAAGTTGATGCGAATAATGGTTGGTTTACAGTATAAGAAACATGCCATTTAATTTATTAGGGGAAAAAATTGCATTCAATTGAACATTTTTCAATGTAGGATTTTTTTTTCAACATGAATGGTTGCTATACCGAGCACAGATGTTGATAATGCACTAAAAAGAACAAGTGCAATGGAATTTGGAAGAAGAATACAGTCTGGTCCACATCTTTCTGATGGATAAACTTGTTGGGTTCCTGTTTTACACAGATTGCTTATGACCTGAGGGTGTGTTGACTCAAGGTCATTTATGCAAGTTCAATGACACTGACAGAAAAAATTAATAATTTGTGGTTGGTACATATCTTTCTTACGGATAAATTAGATGAGTTCCCATTTTACACGAAGATTGCTCATGACCTGAGGGTGTGTCATGCAAGTTCATAGTCACAGACAGAAAAAGTTCATAATTTGTGTCTGGTCCATAGCTTTCGTATTGATTTATTTTATGTGGCTGCGCCTTAGTTTTATTCATTTAAAATATAATGAGCACTAATATTTTCACTCTAAATGTTTTAGCAAATTGTGAACACCTCTGATTTTCATAAAATATTTGTGATTTGGCAACTTCTCTGAAAAACCCAGCAGGGGGTATTTGTCCCTTTTGGACTGTTCTAGTTTTACATGTTTATTTGGAAATTATACTTTCAACTAACTTGCTGTGAGTATCCAAATGAAGAAAACACGTAAGATTGATAATTGATTGTTTATTACTTCTCTATTAAATATATAAAAAAATTCAGGTCAGTGTATATAAATGTTCATCAAAGCTCTCATTTTTTAGTTAAAAGTACAAACATTATCACTTCTCAAATACAAATCGGTACATTTAACCTTGCAATGAGATTTGTACCTTGTTGTATTGAAAAGCCTTGCATTCAGAGTACATCTAGTCATCTACAACAATAAACATGTACAGAACATAATGTTAAAAAAGCCAGAAATCAGATCAAACATGATACCCCATAACAAATAATGTATGAAAAATTCAATATGACAATCTTATTATTGGTAATACATGAACATTTACAAATGTTTAAACTTTTTTCACAGTAAATTTGAATTTGCAAGTATACTTTCTTTCGATGAATTTGATATCACTAAATAATTAAAAATACCAATATCTATTGGGGGTGGGGGTGGGGTCATTCCCTATTAACTGAAGCTGGAGGTGTAGTTATTCCCCCTATCCACCCCAGGATTCAGTCTCTGTTATCTGTTGATAGAGGTGTAGTTCCCCCTCCCCCAGGATCAGTCCATTTTATATGATGGGGGTATAACCCCCCTCCCCCCCCCGGATTCAGTCCCTGTTATCTGTTGATGGGGGTAAATACCCTTCCCCTCTAAGGATTCAGTGCCTCTGTTATCTGTTGATCGGTGTATAGTTCTGTGTGAGGGCCTGCTCCTGTTGATGTATCAGCTCCTGGTTGATGTTTTCGTGGGAGGGGTGAAACAGGTGATGGATGGCTCTCTGTACAGCGGGCTCATAAACAGCATGGGAGGGGATGATACTGGGGTGACTCTGTAAAGAGGAATAGTCCTTCATATTTTGTAATACCTCTATTAATATCAAGATTTTTTATGGTCTCTAAGCACAAGTACATGTAAATAGCCTACATATGCAATATAGCTAGAATTCCATTTAGATATCCCTATAACATTGGTATATAAAATCTACTTACTGAAGTTCAAGTAAAATTATGTAAATTAGATTGAATTTTAACTTACTTGTAAGGCATGCAAAAGGTCAAACATGGAGACTGGGGGGTTTGGGGGCACAGGGTCTGACATGGCCAGCTCGTATACTCCCTCCTCCTCCCCCAGTTCTGTTGTGTGCTTCAGACAGGGCACATGTGACCCACTGTTAATTACCGTTGTAGCTTCACTGCGGAGGAAATGTATCATTTAGGGTACAAAAGATTATTTTCTTTCATTATATAGAAACATCACATGAATGCAAAACAAGAGGCCCATGGGCCACATCGCTCACCTGAGAAGCTTTGACCATTCTGTTCTTTACCAGATTTCCCCCTTGTTATACATAATGCATATCATGCATACCCACCCTACCCCACTGATCATAATTTAGACATTTTGAAATCTACACTACCCCATGAGAACGGGCACATATGTTTCAGCTTTTTGGCCCAGTGGTTCCTGAGAAGAAGATTTTCAAAGATTTTTCCTATATATTTCTATGTAAAACTTTGATTCCCCTATAATGGCAAAAAATTCCCAAATAAGGTCATGAACAATTTAGAATTTCTACCCTAGAATGCTTCCACATAAGCTTCACTTTTTCTGGCCCAGTGGTTCTAGAAAGATATATTTTTCCTCTATATTTCTATATAAAACTTTGATTTCCCATTGTGACCCCGCCCTTCCCCCGGGGGTCATTATTTGAACAATTTAGAATCTGCATTATAAGGATGCTTCCACATAAGTTTCAGCTTTTCTGAAATATTGTGGAAGAAATTTTCAAAGATTTTTCCTATATATTTCTATGTAAAACTTTGATACCCCATTAATGGGCATTTTGGCCCCGCCCTTCCCCCGGGGGTATGATTTGAACAATGCAAAATTATATACACCAGGATGCTTCCACATAAGTTTCAGCTTTTCTCCAAGTGGTATATTAGAAGAAGATTTTCAAAGATTTTTCCTATATATTTCTATATAAAACTTTGATTCCCCATTGTGGCCCCACCCTTCCCCCGGGGGTCATGATTTGAACAATTTAGAATCTACATTATACCAGGATGCTTCCACATAAGTTTCAGCTTTTCTGGCGCAGTGGTTCTTGAGAAGAAGATTTTCAAAGATTTTTCCTATATATTTCTAATATGTAAAACTTGGATTCCCCATTGTGGCTTCACTGGGGGTCAAAGGAAAATTTATCTATATTCCAGGATGCTTCCAATAAGATTTCATTTCTGGCCAAGTTATATAGAAAAGATCACAAAGATTTTTCCTATATATTTCTATAAAAACTTTTTCCCCATTGTGGCCCCGCCCTAAATATGATTTGAACAATTTAGAATCTACACTACCCCAGGATGCTTCCACATAAGTTTCAGCTTTACTGTTCCAGTGGTTCTTGAGAAGAAGATATTTTAATGAAACCCTATTTTTCTCTTTTTTGATTTAATCCCCTTGAAGGGAAAACATCCCTTCATTTTAACAATTTAAATTCCCCTTCACCCAAGGATGCTTTGTACCAAGTTTGGTCAACACACATTGGTTCTTGGAAGGTCGAAAATGTGAAAAGTTTTTTTAAGCTATATATGGCATATCTGAGGACTAAAAAAATAAAAAAAGCTCACTTGAGCCTTCGGCTCAGGTGAGCTAAAAACCCCTGTTTTTATTCATGAAGTTTCATTATATCTTATCAAAGAAGTTTTTACTACACAGTCTCAAACTACCTTTCACATCAGCAAATATTTCAACCATGTTTATTATAAAAATGATAGTTCCCTTTTTTGATTTAATACTGGAAGGGAAAACATAAAACGCTAGGTTGTCATAAATATTTTTTTGTTTGATGGTCCACTCCAACACACATTTTTCTAGGAAGGTAAGTAAGTGATTTTTTTAAGCTATATATGGCGTATCTGAGCTAAAAATGAAAATCGGGATTAGTGTAGATTTACCGTATATACTCGCCTATAAGTCGGTATTTTGGGAGTTGAATATTGGTCTAGAACTCTATGTCCGACTTATAGGCGAGTAAAAAGAGATTGGTATTTTTCTGGGGGCTAAAAAGTAGTATCTTATTTGAATTTCCGACGATTATCAAAGAAATTGTCTGGATATATAAGATAATTTATGTATTCTTAGATTATATATATAAAGTACAAGTATATACATATTTTAGTAATTTTACTTGCATTTTAAGTGACATTGCATTCATGTTTGATAATCTAAGATTAAATATCAGTGTCATTTCGAAAAATATTAATTGAAACCAGGTTAAAATATCAATGGATTTACTTGAAATTGTCACCAGATTTTGGCAAAGAAGTTGTACCGACTTATAAGCGGGACAATAGCAAATCCCACCAAAATAACGTAAAAAAATACAACTGACTTATAGGCGGATCGACTTATAGGCGAATATATACGGTACATGATATTTTCTATTTACGCTCAAATTAAATTTTTTATCAATTTTGAACTTAAATATCCATGTGTTTCAATAGTTAAACTGACTTTTTAAATGCCGAGTCAGAAAAAAAATAGTTATAATTGTTTTTTTTCCTCGGATATCTATCAAACGCGATTGATTTAAATTGTGTAATTTACAGTAAAGTCCTACTGGTACCTACATGTATTTATTAAATAACAAAACAAATAAAAAATCTTTTTAATTTCAGTTAGTCTGAACTTATCAAAAAAACGCTGTATAACACATTTATAAACATCATAAAAATTGCCAACTTAGAAATTTATTATAGTCTTCATTATAAACTGGACTACCAAAAAGATTAAAATACTTGGTGCTGTATAAACTTTCAATTTTAAAAGCATCCTAGAGAAATGATAAATTTTAACTATTAAATCAAATGATCAACAGGATCTGTATTTTTAAAAACAAAGAGAGGGTCAATTTAGTCAGAGTACATTATAATAAGTCAGTGTACATCAAACAAATAATTTTGTCTTGTTGGCCTACCTCTCTGTTCTGCTGTCATGCCTGAGGTAGGATTGTCTCTGATACGGATTCTGAGTGGAGGATCCCATGGAAAATCTCATCTTCTTCTCACGGAGTTTGTAGCCATTCCGTTGTGATAAGATCACAGATATCACATTCTTTAAAACATTCTGGAAGAAAGTCAAATATATTCAACATAAATAAATAAGAATGAAAAACAAGCATTTATCAAAATATTTACATGTACAGTAAAGTACACTCTACATGATAATGTACATGTACAGCGTATGTTTCTAATTAAATCCTATGTATTCTACAATTCAGAGTGCATGCCAGAAATTTTTACTGAACATATTTAACTGTGATATCTGTATCAATATCTGACCTCCATGACCTGGATGACATATTTAACTGTGATATCTGTAAATACTTAACCTCCACTGCCTGCATGACATATTTAACTGTGGTGTCTGTCACTTCTTCCAGCCCCACCTCCCAGGCACAAACTAACATTCTCCCATGGACCATTGTAATGTCTGGTAGCACCATTTCACGGGAAGCAAATTCTGTATTTAAAGTAAATATAAATCAAAAAGATTAAAATATCTAATGCATGTTTTAACAAAAACTTCCCTTTCAAAAATAACAAATGCTGAGTTAATACATGTGTATATACAAGGGTTGTCTGGTAAAATCATGGACAAATTGTCTACATTGAAAAATAATCATCACACTTCCTTTTAACTACAAAAATAAATACAAATTTCAATGATTTATATGCATAAATAAACAAATTGTATAAATTATAGTGCTGAATCATTTTTGGTAACGTCAAAGTGTCTGCAGCATCACGTTTCCTTTGTAATGAAATTAAATTTTTTTCTTTTGGTAAAAAAGTTTAGGAACTCAATCTTGCACACAAATGCAATCTTTTGAAGATTTATTAGCAAGTTACGGACAGTAATCTCACCATCATAAAACTTATAGAGAATCTTATATCGACGGTCGACAAATTACAATAGCAGTTTGTCATGTTTTGTTCTAACTGTGACGTAGCTAAGAAAACTTCCATTTCATTTGTATACTACAGATCTGCTGATATTTTTCATATTTTTTTCTTCTGTATTCATTAAAAGTCTCTTAAGGTGTCAATACAACATTCTAATGAAACTGAACTGCTCTTCGGTGTGCTGTAACATCATCAAACGTCACCATTTATCGTGTCTTGTGTTTACCTCTTTCCCATTTTGAATGCACGGGAAACTGCCAAAAATTAATCAAATGCCTTGATTTTTTTAAAAAGATGACAAATTGATACCAGGTATTTAAAACTTTTATGTATTCTCTAATATATTGTTTATTTACTGCAAATTGTCACATTCAAGCATAATAAAATCTTTATATATATTTCAAAAAATTAAGATGCACTAAATATGTGAATAAACATTTACTTATCAGCTTAGTGTGTGCATTGTTCACTTTAATTATGATCTTTTTGGTGATTAATGAGATATTGAGAAAAAAAGTCAAATATTATACATGTACATGTATACAAAATATATGGCATATAAATCATCATATATAATGGTATGCACAGTACAACATCTGCCACCATCAACAAAAATTATATCACCATAGGTGAAACAATGTACCCGATACTGTGGATCACGATATTAATGCCAAATTTTATTTACACATGATAACTTTTTGTATTCATAAGCACGAAAAATTTTTTGTGAGCTAAATTTTCATAAGCAGATGGACTTGGATAATTATGTGAAAATAAAGTTCAAACGAATGAAAAGTATATTCATCATTTGTCTGTTTACACATTGTATATTCCTTCCCTTGTCTGTAATCAACTTTACCTGTATCTTCAGCTCCTTTTAAGCTGGCAAGTGGAAATTTAATCAATGGATTAGTCACTGAAAATCTCTGAAAAAAATAAAAGTGAAATGTTAAGAAATGATTTTGTTCTCTCTGCTTTATCTGCAATGTAAAAGACTTCGGGAGAGTCAGAGTACATGTATTCATGATAAAAAGAGAATGGAAAAAATGCATAAGCTAATATACACATACTGTATTATTTAGGAAATAAGATATAGGTCACTGACCTGGGCACTCTTTGATGCCACAGACCTCCTCCGGAGCTTATTGAGTTTGGACTTGACATGTTTAGCAAGATCTCCAGGCTTAGGGTTCTTGGATATTTCTGATACTTTTCCAGCAATACTGTTTTCTCTTGGTACTGTAAAACAAAAAGTACCTGTATGTAATTACCATGGTGATTCATTCAATATTTCAGGTACTGTATATCAAGGATGATTAACTTTAGTGAGCCTGCTGATGGCTACAGGGTAGTACTTACCTAATGAGGAACTGAGAGTCTGACATCTAGATATGATTGCCAGGAGGAATTCATTGTGTAGATTTACTGAAAATGACAATGCAATATGTATTTTAAAAATAAGGTATTATTCTGAAACAAATATTGGTTTGTCATCGGATCAAATACCATGAAGCCCCAAAAGTGTATACCTGCATGTTCAGGTAAAAGTTTCCTAGCTTCCAGATCAAACTCCTCTTTGGTAATCTACAAAAAATCAGACTTATTAAGCTTAAAATTTCCATAAATTATGTAAAACTTCATTTTTCAGATGAAAGAGTTTCATTTCTGAATAACTGTTCTATTTGTTTAAGAAAGTAGTTATCATAAATTAATACATGTAGAATTAACTTAAGTTATTCAGTGTTAATTAAACAGTACCATACCTTCTGCTTGAACCAGGATTTCATATTCTGAAGGTACCTTTTAAAAAGTGGAAATTAAATTCATAAATTTCCATGAAATAGATAATGCTAGTATTTGCAGTACTGGTGAAATAAGGCTTATGTGATAGCAAGGACAGTGACCTCTATCAAAAAATCACAATGTGTACCAATGATGAAATATTGAGCTGAAACTTAAAAACCTACACATTGTCTAGAGAATTTTTAATGCCCCCCCCCAAAAAAAAGGCAACATGGTTTACTTTACCTACTGCTGAACAGCTGCAATGCATTTTACAAAATCTGGCTGTTTTGAAATTGACAAGTGCTTATTTCATTTTAAGAAAATATTTTCAATTCTTTTTTGAGATTTGTGAAAGAAATATTTAAAATGATGTATAATCTTTCATTTCTATGCTCACATTTACAAAATTTGCTTTATGAAGCCTTATATCAACTTATAATACATCGGCCTAAACCATTGCATGTTCAAAGAGACGTAGACCTGTGCTATCGTGTCGATAAACCATAATGATTGATTTTTTTTTTTTCATGTGATATACGTGTACATAGTTTTAGCAGGTAGTATATAGGTCATTGGTTTTAGACAGCAGGAGAAGGTGTGCAATTATTATTTAACCCCTCAATATATTATCAGAAAATGTTTTGTACATGCAAACGTCAAAGCGTTTGTACGGTATTCGAAGCAACTATTAATCATCTAAAACAACTCAATATTAAATGTGAGTATGGATCAATGTCTTTAGAATATAATCTTTCAATTTCGGTCTTATAAAGTGATAAAGAAGCTCTACAGTTTTTCCAGTGACGAGTTAAATAATGTGCAGTAAACCGACGAAAACCACGTGTCGCCATTGAATCGTAACCACGTAGTAGAGTGTCATGCTTTGGAACTCATTCACTTGATTGCAGAACGGGTGTCACGAAGATATCGTCACCTGTTGAAAATTGCCTTCCATATAAGGTAGTGATCTCGACCTGTTACAAACCTACACATTGTCTAGATAATTTTTAATGACACCCCCCCCCCCCCACCCCCAAGAAAAAGCAACATGCTAGCTCGACTAAGTCAGAAACAAAAGAAAAAATTTACAAAATCTGGGTTTTGAAATTGACAAGTGCTTATTTCATTTTAAGAAAACAGGTTGTAAACATTTCCTCCATCACTATGGACAATGTAAAATAAAATATATTTTTTAAAAACCATGTGTGTATATTCCAATTAACAGTCTTCTGAATAACTCATTAAAGACAATTTTTAATGTAAGAAAAATAACGTACAGTTTCATTTCATCGCCCAAACTTTCCTGTAAATTTTTCTTTGCAACATTCAAGTCTATGGAAGCTGCCATTTTGAATGAGCATAAAGGTGAGAGTTAATACGGACAACATTTCATTTTCCGGGAAATAATCGAGCAAGAAATGTTGAAATATTACCAGGTATCAGAAAGCAAAAGAAATGTCAACCAAAACACAAATACAAATATTTTAATGGCACAAGTTTACGCAATTATACAGAGCATAGTAATAACATAGAACATGGTTAATATACAGTAGAACATAACTATCTAGAAGCAAACTGTGTTGTGTACTCATCAGATACTAAATACATGTATAATTCAAAACAATGTAGTTTATTCATTTATAAAGCTAAAACATTTTTCTTTCATATCAGATATTTGACATAAAAATGATGATAATACCGGGTATTTTAAGAACAACTGCAACTGGTTTTCATCAATAGTTTTAACAAACTGTCATTATTATGGATTGTTTGGTTAAAATTAGGGAAAGTGATAATCTTGTTTTGAATATTTTTCTATGTGCTTCATATTTTGGACATAGCAAGCAAAATGAAATATTTTTAACCCTCAATATCAAGGTTTTGACATACTTTACATATCCTATATCATTTTTATTAATTTCAACATACATGTGTATACCTTTTTCAATTTCTAAGTTATATTTCCGATAAAATGACAGTTTTGAGGAGTTCATAATACTTGCATTTTGTTATTGTAATATTTGATCATGAATACGTTGCTTAACAATGCAAAGCACTGGTTTCAATGACAAATTAAAATTTGTTAAATAAGAAAACCCTAAGATATTACGACAAGTCTTTAAACACATAGGCCATGTGTTGGTTTCTTTAGTTTTGACAAAAATATCACGTCATTGTGCCAACCACAGGCACATGTCTGACGTTACTTATTTTTCTTTTAATAAAAAAAAATATACACATAACTAATATTTTTTTTTATTAAAAGAAAAATAAGTAACGTCAGGTGCCTGTGGTGCCAACGTATGTTCCAACGAAATTAAATGATCAAGGTATTTGATAGCAAACATATTAATTTTTGATCTGACTGGGAGTCTACCGAGTTCAGAATAGCAGACATTATTTGAAGTTCTGCAATGAACTCCTAAGATATCTTTTAAAAATTAATATGAAATTTTTCATAAGATGCTGAGCCTGACTTTTTTATGACTGAATCAATACCCCACACTTCGCTGCCGTAAAGCAAAATGGGAATTACCATAGTATCAAATAATTACACATGTTTTTTCGGACCAAGACCCCCACCCCCATCTCCCACCCCACCCCCTAAGATGAGGCTTCTTAAATTAAATTCAATTTAAATAAAATTGCATATCACACTTAAAAAAAATTCACATTTAACACGAATTAAGCTTTATAAAAAAATAAATATCATTGATATTTAAAAAAATGTATTCCTCAAATTAAGCGACTCGATCTAAACATTTTGATAAACCAAATTATATAATTAATCAAACACTTTATTCATATTATTTGCTTTCATAAACAACAATGATAAATGTTCATTATTATTTCGAAGATTCAAGTCTGATTATTTCATAGTCTATCCATAGTAGTCTTTGATTTTTTTTTTTGCAACTTTAAACCTTTACATGCGTGAAGTTTGTTTATTAATTTATTTTACTCGATGATCATAATTTTCTGGCAAACATTGTTGTTATTGCATAATTATCAACATGTATTAGTTTATATGTATCGATAGAAATTGTTGACTTAAAGGTCTTTGAAATTAAATTTTTATCATCTTAAAAAAGGTTATGTAATTTTATTTATTTATTTGTCAATATTCATGTTATTAACTATATACATGTTTGGAATCTCTTGAAAGAGGTAATGAACATATGACAGTCATATCTTTTCTCATTCAAAAGATACTACAAATTTTGATGTTTACGTTTTTACGACAAACAGATAACAGAAATTTAAATAGGTCGGGCTCGGATTCTAAATTTATAACGTGGCGGCTGTTCTAGTAAATGAAGTTACACCCTAAAAGAAATACCGGCAAATCGGAAAACTTATTGTAATATTTTTGTTTTATTCAGTGTAATAGAATTGTAAAGATACTTTTTGGGGTATTTTATTTTATGCAATGAAAGAAAGTGTAAAAGAGTTTTCTGATTTTAGTAAAATATGCGTTTTGAAAGTTTCAAGATTTTTAACGTTTGATTCCTACTTTTAGATTTTCTCATTTCCGGTTTCTCATGGGGGTACGTGGCCTGTGAGAGCAGAATACACACTGACAAGATATTCCAAAACAATGGCGCAAAGAAATGAACTTATTGATAGAGCGGAGGATGTGGCTGATCAGGTAACACAAATTAATAATTCTACAGCTTTTTACACGTGTAAACAAAGACTGCAACTAGAAAACAAGTATGTAACACTGAAACAAGTTATCATATGTCTTACACATCATAATACTTTCAGATGAAAAGTGCCTATCTCAAACTTACAAATCATAGGCCACAGTATTTGTTAATTTTTGTTTAACAGGCTAAAGTGATAGAATCTCTTCATAAATGATTTGTGGTAAATTGTGTGTTAAGGATAAAATTGAGTGTGTTTTACTGTTTAATTATTTGTATTGGGAAAAAATTATGTACAGTAGTACAAATGTACTATGTATAGTGATGATGTTGAATATGAAAATCCTACCAAATGCTTCAAAACAAGCAGCAAGAAGTGTAACTATACAGATATCTTAATTTCACCTATGAACAAAGCCAGAGAGGACGAATTTGCTTAATGAGGTCACTGTGTCATTTAGAATAGGTCACGTCATGAATAAATTTTGAATGGATAAAATATACAAATGTATTGCTATATTGTACAAATATATTTTAGGTTCTCCGTAAAAGTAAGCATGTGCTGCCACACGTAGCCAGGTTTTGCCTCATCAGCACGTTTTTAGAAGACGGGCTGAGAATGTGGAACCAGTGGGGAGAACAGAGGGATTACATGAACCACACCTGGGGGTGCGGCTACATCCTAGCCACCTTGTTTGTAATCGTCAATCTGGTGGGTCAGTTAGGAGGCTGTATAATGGTACTGAGCAGATTTAAAGTTACAATAGCATGTGGTGTTCTTGTTGGAATCATAGTTTTACAGGTTAGTAAATGATTCATTTCTGAGAATTTTTGGTTAGAATATATTTACTATATGAATGCCTTACAGAAGTTCAAACACTACAAGTTCTTTAAATTCCTCATAAAGTAAGTTACAATATTGTTTAGCTCATGACTTTTTTTCCCTCAAAACAATTTTTATCAAACAGGATAATTTTCTTGTAAACGAAGAACAAATGAATAGAATTCTATGCTATCCCACAACAATTTAGACTTGACATTTCAAAATCATATACCGTAAATCTGGAAATTTTTACGTCGATTTATTTTTGCAAATTTGGGTCAAAAAGCTGTTGATTAATTTTTACGCTTCAAATTTTTGCGAATTGTCACTGGTGTTAAAAATAAAAATCACTGAAGATTTTCATATCAGGTTATGTTTCAAATAATATGCCTAGTTAGAATACCACCAGACGAGTATACTCGCAACGTGGCAAGATATTGCAAAATCGCTCCGAAACAATTTTGATAAAAATACAAAAGGATTTGCACGGAAAATAATTTCTTAATCAATTATAGCAAACATTTTAGAGGTTGTGTATGCCTTTTAACCTGAAGTATAATCCAAATGAATAAAAAATACTAGTATAACTAATTTTCTCAACGTTTGGTTTTTTTCTCACCTAAAATTTACATGCCGCGTTTGCATTTGGAACTTTCTAGTAATGCACTGAGTTTGAGTTATCGCCCGTGTTGATACACGGTTAGATAAAATGACAGTTCTCTCTTTATTGGCAAATTAATTGAGGAAAATAATTAAAAACGGGCATACCGCCTCAGTGCTTGTCAAATCATCGGACGATATTGCATATAATGAGGGCAATTTACACGCACAGGTAATTAACTTGTAGTTATATAGTAGACTAGTGTAAACAGGTTTCTTTTAAAAATGACCAGTGCATACCGACGCCTATTCACTGAGTTAAAAAACGACACAAGTTCTCAGAAAAAAATTCTTCACATGTTGATGTATTTTTAAGAAAAATATTTTTGCGAATGCAATGTACGCGCAAATTTGCTAAAAATTTATCTATAGTAAAAATTTCCAGATTTACGGTATGAAATATATTGTCTTTATTGACCTTTAATTTTGGTTATTACTCTTTTTCAGACAATTGCTTACAGCATTTTATGGGATGTGAAGTTTCTTTTAAGGTATGTATTTGAATCATTCTCATATGGCACAGAGAAAATAAATTGGTAAAGACAAGACTTTTTCTGCCAAATGTATAAACATTAATGAGCAATGATTTTAAAGCTTGAATTGTAAGCTATTTTCTGTTTTAAAAACACCAGTTCAGTATCAAGCATTCTACAATCCATGACCTCTATGATAAATTTCATGTTGCTTCGCATTCTTGAGAATTTTTTTAAAGTTTGATTCATACATTGTAGGAACTTGGCATTAGCTGGTGGTGTATTGCTGCTTTTGGCTGAAGACCGTGCAGAGGGAAAGAGCTTATTTGCTGGACTTCCCTCCCTTGGCGAGAATAACCCCAAACAGTACATGCAGTTGAGCGGCCGAATTCTTCTTGTATTGATGTTTCTGACCCTGCTAAGATTTGAAATGGACTTCTTCCATATTATTCAGAATTTGGTGGGCACTGCACTTATCATTCTCATAGCTGTGGGATACAAGACCAAGTTATCAGCATTAGTTCTTGTTATCTGGTTAACCCTTCTCAATGTTTACTTCAATGCCTTCTGGAATATCCCAGCGTACAAACCGATGAGAGATTTCCTCAAGTATGACTTTTTCCAGACCTTGTCTGTCGTCGGTGGACTCTTGCTTGTAGTAGCTTATGGACCAGGTGGTGTTAGTATGGATGAACACAAAAAGAAATGGTAGTCTCAGTTTGTTATAGCTTAGGTTTATATTAACTTTGACGGAGAAAAGGCACTACAGCAAAGTGTTAAGTATGCATGTAAAAATAATTGAAGGAAGAAAAAGCTAGAAAAGTACATGTATTTCAACTGCATTGTACACCCATTGTTTATGATATGTTATTTATGTGTTTTAGTTTTGTTGAAAGCTGTATTGATGCAGGTCAGATATAAATTTTTGTGTCTTGTGAACACTGATAAATAAATTTTATGATCATTCAAAACAAAGGAGTATTTGTTTATATACATGTATATATTTTGATGTGCATGTATTTGATCATATTATCTGTTATCTTTATATATTACCATTAGTACTCTATCTCAAAGATTTTATCCTGAAATTGAAATATTTTTCACCAGTTAATTATATTTTTTTCTAAATACTGTTACAAATATATATGTTTATAAATCTTATTTCACTAGTCATTGCAACTGAAAAATTAGGTCATGTTGTTGACATTGTCCAACGTTTAATCACAGGTTGTAATTTATTAAAGTTGCTGATTGCCAAAGGTAAATTATTAGATTGTACAGTGTATATGTCTCTGAAATAATATATGGTGCTTAATCTTAGAAATTCAAAAAAAAAAACATTAAGTTTGCTCAATTTCTCACAAATCACATCAAAGATTATTGAAACTTGGTATGTATACTTGTAGAGACATTGTTCATAAATTCGAAATTATGCCCCTCTGTTATACTGATGTATACATTGAAAATGGACTTTTTGTGATTTCTGCTGATAATTAATTTATACATTGTAAATTATTTATTAGCCCATCATAGATTTTTTTCAGATCCTTATTGATATGTGTTTACAGTATTGAAAAGCAACAATTTACCACCATGTTTATAAGTAGAAATGTTTGAGCTCTGTTCATTGACATGCCTCCTGTGTTTGACAGTGGGATACATGAAATACACTTTAGACTATATACCAGTATCAATAGATTTGTGAAAAATTCACAGAACTTTTGATTGAGAATAATACCTCAAGGGAAAAATTTTTCTTAATTGAGCTTAAATGCATGTGTGGTATATGTGTGCTATATACACTACATATAATATTATATCTGTGCCAGATTAGTTATTTTCTGCATGACCCTCCTTAGTTGTGCTTCATTGTGTTAGATTCCAGTAAATGTGAATAGAAAAGTATGCCAGTGTAAAAGTCATCCATGTTGTTTTTGCATGATTGTCATTACTGCCACAGAAAAATACCAATAAATACTATGTTTTATTTGGGTTTTGTCTTTTACCAGTTGTGGTCTGCAGAATGATTTAAAAGGGAGAGAACTCTGATGAATGGATAAGAGAATATGGTTGAATGCATTGGTTTCTATTGTTTGATGAAATCTCTTTTGGAATGCAATTTACATACACATAATGATATATGTGTGTATTCACATTTATTTGCATGGAAGGAGGGGGTCTCTTTTTTTGAAGACCAGTCTTTATTGCTTTTCAAAACTATAGCAGGTCTATAAGAAACGGGAGGATGTATAATCTGTAGACTACTGGTAGTTGATATAATGGGGACCAGTCTGTGTCTATCTATAGACTACTGGTAGTTGATATAATGGGGACCAGTCTGTGTCTATCTATAACTTGTAAATACATGCACAGATGACTTTGGTAGGACTTTATATCTTCCTCTGACTGTAGGTTGAATTCTTGTATGAGGTAAATGTTGATTATTAGAGGAAAGTATAAAAGGACGTCATATAGACACACATACATATAATTACTTCTAGGTGTTTGTACTTGGCATGGCATTGTTACATATTCAATGAATAAAATAATTAATCATAATAAATTTTCAGTGATCAGTCTTGTGTGGCATTCTCACTTCCTGAATGAATTAAGTAAGTAGGCGCATTTCACATTAAGCATGCATTCTCACTGCAAGGGCCAATTTGTTTCCAACATTTTGGTAATGTAAAGGGAGCTAATCAAAATCTCACTCTGCGTAATAGAATGAAAAAATAAAAATCTGAAAAATAAGACTCTCCTACAGTTATATACTGAGTGTTTAATGGTACACATAAAAAATGCCATATTTTATAATGGAAATTGTCATATAAACATAACCAACATTAATACAAGTAAAAAACGGTCATCTGTAATGTAACTGAAATGTCATTTATATACACAAACACTAAAAGGGAAAGTTCCCGATTATGTTGAGAATCTCTTTGGCAGTGGATTTACGATCATACTCTCAATACACTCAAACACTGTGTGAGGGTCTTGGTCTGCGTTTACGTGCTGCGCCTCGGTGTAATAATCGGCCACTTCCTCTACGTAAGCGTTATACTCGGCCAGTCTCTGGCGGACAGCATCCTCGCTATCCTTGGGATGTTTCTCTAGCCTCTCTTTGATTTCCTGAGTGCGTGGAGGATTGTATAACATGTGATATCTCTCTCCAGTGATTGGGTCTGTGGCACGTAATGTTAATCGCTCAATAACGGAGTCATTTGGAACATCCAGGAAGAAAACCCTACAAAAAATGCAAACATTGGTAATTTAGAAAACCACTCTAGCATTCAACTTCAAAACTCAAAAGATTTTTGAGAAATATCACTTATAACTGAAGACACTTTTAGTGAATGTTGCAGAAGAATGAGATAAGATCTAACCTATTAGGAACAAATCCATCCTTGGCCAGGGCCTCGGCCTGCTCTCTTGTGCGGGGGTAACCGTGGAGGACCCAGCCTCTACTGACACAGTCTAACTGGGAGAGGCGGTCCCTCATTATGTTCAGGATTATGTTGTCTGGCACTAGGAAAACAAAGCAATCACATGTTAAAAGTCACTAAAAATAATTTTCTGCTGCTTATTTCATAGACACAGAACATTTTGAAATTAAATGTACTGAAGATATCAAACAATGTTTAAAATAGACATTTGGATCAATGAGGTTGTAAAGATCCACATCTGCAAAGAAAATATAACAGCAACACAAGTTCTACCTTATTCTAAAATCTATTTAAAAATCAATCAAACTTGACAGGATGAAGGAAGTATAAAGATCGTCAAACAGAAGGATATATTTCCAGTAAGTTAAAATCACAAGTTTAAGGATATAATATAATAAAATATTAACAATTTTATAGTAAGCTGGAATTTATTAAGTAGAGTTATATGTTTTATTTTAATATACCTATATGGCAGTTGTATCATAATTAATAAAGCAAGTTAATTAACTGCTAAAGTTAAGTTGTCTCCCTTTAGGGAGCATTTTATTCCTGATCACTAGAAGTACAAAATATGATTTTCTAATTTATGTGCACTTTGATTTTTTTCAGATTCATTTAACTAATAAATAAATCATGCATTATTTTACTTTAATATGTATACTTTTTAGTTTTATGTTACAAGCATTCAATTTGTGCATTGCTAATTATGAAATTCATTAACGATAAATCAAGAATGACAGTATAGTTTATAATGCATATATTGTCTACGAATCATTCTCTGAAACAAAGTCAGTTTAGAAGATATAGATGAGACATACTGAGATCAATTTGAACTATAAATAATAGATAAAGCATTATTCACATTAGAATATTGCCTAATGTTCTCTATTTACTTACATTTAACCACCTCATTCCCATATAAGCCTTTGAGAAAACATTAATACATGTATTTACAATTTTTCACAATGATAATGTGATTTACTACGTGAAACAACAAGATATTGAAAATATATAAATATATTCCTATTCTTAAAATAGCTCTAAACACATGAATTTGAAATCAACTTGCACCCAACTTGTTTCTGATTTTATTTTCCAAGTTTTAAAATTCAAGTCTAAAAAAAATTTAGTAGCATCTGGAGGTAATATGTTACCATAAATACTACTATAAGCCAAGTTTGTGGTATTCACTGTATTCATGTTCACTGGTATGTAAATGTTAACATCAAACTTCTGGGTCACAATTAGACTTCCTTGAGATGGTGACCATCTCAATTTGCTCCACTTTTTGCAAAGGATATTAGGACAACAGTGATTGTAGTTTGACCTTGACCTTTGACTTTTATCTTTACCCATGGGCTTCTGTGTGTAAATGAGGTATGAGGCGGATGATTTCACAGGGTGAGAAAAAAATGCTCATAACAAGGATTTTTATGAGATCTGTAATGATCTTGACCTCTGGCAAGGAAACTTTGTTAAAGGACACTGCACAATATAAACCCACAAATACTCTCTGGGTAAAAAGGAACTAAACTGGACCAAGGTGACTTTTGAACAAGTATTATATGAGATGTAACAGATGAACAAATTACAGAATGACAACTATTCAGCAACCACAATGTAAAATAGATGACACTACAATGCCTTCAAAGACATCAGAAATCATGAATCTCAGTTTTGGCAATTTGACTGAAACTAATTTTGGTTCATTGGGTTACCTTTAATTGATCAATGAAATCTAAGGTTGACAGATGAAATTGAGTTTCTTATAAATCTTACCCATCATAGATTTCTCAATGTAGGCCTTCGCTGCTTGTCCTGCCTTTGTTTCATCTGCAATAGCCTGCTTAACTAGTGAACCTGAGGAGACTGTAAAGAAGACAACATCAGAGTTACATGTAGCAGTCACACAGTCACATTATGTTGATATAGTCAAAGCTTTGTATCTCATTGTTGAAGAAATGATGAAACTCTACAAATGGTCAAAAACTCTATAAACTGAGATTTCTTACCATTGACAATATTATACTTGTTAGCCAAGAGGGCAGCTTGTACACCTTTTCCTGAGCCTGTGGGTCCCAGCAGTACAATCCTGGGGGTGTGGGGGGCATTGGATCGAGGCTGACTACAGAGGTAAGAATATACTGAAAATAAAAAAGACATATCCCTGAAAATCTCTACATGCAAACAAATAAGTAAGAATAAACTGAAAAGAGAAATGACAAAAAAAAGTGTCTACAAAAACTTATGTACCATGGTAAACAATTCAGTTAATATGAAAAAAAAAGTTCTACCAAACATCCCTGGATCTCTTTGTAGTTCTTGAATTGAAGCACATATTGTATTCTTTATTAGATGAACACATTACAGATAATGATATCCATTGACAATCAATTCATAAAACTACCTGAGGATCGATGCAGAGTTGCACCTTGCCAGGATGGGCAATACTTCATACCTTGTGAGAAAACATCAGCTTTTGGCTGATCAGCGTTGACTTTTTTGACGACCTTTTTGTAGCAGTCTAAGATGTCATCAATATGTCTGTGGTATTCTATAAGTTTGTTGACCATGTCCTCCTCTGTGTAACCCGGAGTTTCCTCCAGTCTCGTCTGGATCTCGGCGTTCGGAGGCCAATCAAATGTGGTGTGGTATATATCTATAAAGCAAAAGAAGTCCTGTCAGTAATTTATATTCTTTTTATTTATGTAGATGAATGATGTAAGGGTTGAGTAGGTCTACTCATTATAATAGAAAGAACTACTCCATGTTAGTGAAACAAAGGATCCTGTATACCTCCAGTTTTTGGATCCACCCTTCTCCCTTGTGCTCTCTCAATAAGGACTGTGTCTGGTGCATCAAGTATAACTGGAAAAAATGCAATATATTCATATGCTCTTTCTTCAAATTCTTGTCATACAGTCTATTCATTGTGATTTGTTAGGGTCAATGTTCCTGGGTAAGTAGACTGTTGGTTCATGGGGACATAAGAATCTGGGTGGATTAGGCGAGTCATATGCCCACACAGATTTTGTCACGCTGTAAGCATATCGGAAATTTCATAGCTGTACATGTACGATACGATTTACCTAAACATTTAAACTTTGTACAGTACCGTCCAAATGACAATTTCTATATTTTTAGATCTTGCGGTTATCACTACAATATTTTTTTTAAGGTGATGCTTTTCATAGTGCGTGTTAATTGTTCTATCAAATATGTTTTCAGGGGTTTGGAGATGGTACGCTTTACCTTTCCTTTTAACTGTTTTTGCATGCAGAAACGCCATATCAAAATATATACACATGTATCTTGAAAACTTGTTTATAATAGGAAATATATTAATTGACCGTAAATAAATTCATCATCTTATCTATTCATTTTGTTTTTAGTGAAAAAAAATATATTTATCTAAATTTCAACCTGAACTCAAAAAATCGTGATTCGAACACTTGCAACAAATAACTAAGTGCTTCAACACCGCCGCTATGACTACTGAGCCACGAAGTCACACATACAGTGCCTTTTAAATAGCAAACAGTTCTATATGTATAGCAAACGCACAATTGGACTTGGAGTATTTTGAGAATATGTTCCGAAATTTAAGTAGGTAAACTAACTTTTTAATATAGAGTGGGTCTTCGTACCATTTTTTTGAAAATGGTGAAAGATACATCCTTCCACACCCTTTCAATATTTGTTTACGAAAAAATGGTACGAAGACCCACTCTATATAAAAAATACAGTTTTAACATTCCATTTCTATCATTTTTATGGTTTCTAAAGCATGTTACCATTTTGGTGGATTAATTACAATCAATTTGTATGTCATTTGATTCAGGTTTTATCTTTAATGTATGTATATGGTTATAAATAACACCCAAATTTAACAAAAAGTTGAATTTGCAAAAAAAAAATTTAATCAATATTTTACCTGCCCTTGCGTAGGCATATGACTCGCCTAGCCCACCCAGATTCTTTCATGGGTAACTTGTATGTATAGAAGATTAAATGAATTAACATGTTGAGTACAATATTGATCATGGGAATGTTAATTCTTGGATAAGGGTGACCCATGAAATCTACAAACATTGGTGTCCAACAAACATTGATGATTCCACAGTAGTAATTAAAATTAGGAGTGAAACGGTTCACCACGGTATCGATTCACCGCAGTATTTTTTCTCGGTTCGATACACGGTACAAACTCTCTATTTTCAGTTCGGTTCATTTTTCGGTCAGGATCTTCATTCAGGCGGGTTTGGCATAAGGCATAAACATGCTCCATCGTATAACTAGTTAAAAAACGTAAATTTTTGTGGACTTAAAGTTTATAAAATAATTTTTAACAGTCAAATCAATCAAATTTTCTTCTATCCATTTTGCACATAAATTATTTGACTAGATTAAGTAAAAGGAAGCATAAAACAACAGTTGAATTTGTTTCCTTCTATCAAAATGTATCGTATCAAAAATAACCGAACCGAGACCAAATTTTACGATACGTGTCGAACCGTGAAGGAGGCATATCATTTCACCCCTAATTAAAATGTATAACCGTTGTCTACTTGCACCTGTACTTTTGAAGTCCTTACCACAATGCTTTGGATGCATCCCCACTGACTGTAAAGCCTGTGCTTGTTCTCTGGTCTGAGGAAAGCCCTCTAACACAAAGCCTTTCTTTACACAGTCCATCAGTTTCAGTCTCTCTGTCAGGATCTGTGTCCAAATTTCTGTTGGCACAGGCTTTAAAAATCAAATAGAGTTTATATACTGCATTGAATGTCAATTTCCTTTATAAATATTCATATTAAGTGTTTCCTGCAAGGAATAACATACCACACACAAGACAATCTTAGCTATTCACAGTCACAATAGTGTAAATATTGGGGTTAAATGGGAGTTCACATACTAGGAATCTGAAGCATTATTGCTAGCTAATGAGACACGACCTATTACCTCTTTCTTCTTAAGCAGGTCCATGACCTTCATCTTGACGTCAGTTTCTGATTCCTGAATCAGATTTTCTGTGGTCAGGTGAGCTGTACGGAGTTTGTTTGCACACAGTTTGCTAATGCTCTTCTTTCCAGAAGCTGGAGGTCCAAGAATAATGACCTGTGGTACTGTTAATAGAAATTAGAAATTTCTATAGAAATAGAATAATTTATTTCAAACAGAACTTTTATATTAAAACCTGTCTTATTTTAATTTTTTTTTTTTTTTACATGTTTATGCACTAAGTGGTAAATGTAAAGTAGGACTCAACATAATGAATATAATTATCATGTATTTTTTAAAATCATTTCACCTCAAACAAATGCATATTTACCATCATCATTTTCTTTTTTTAGTTGTTCCACAAGAAATGCCAAGGGATCTGTAGGTTTTTCTATTATAAGCTGTTCCATCAGCCTCTGTTAACAATGTTTCATTCATAATAAGTATGCTATCAGTACATAGTATAATCAAAGTCGGGTGTGGTAATCAAAAACCCCTTTTAATTTCTACCTTTAAAAATAATGATTAGGCCTAGGTTGAACTGAAAAAAAAAATCATTATTTTTTTAAGGAAATTTTATTTAGTTCTCTATATATTAAAGTTAACTAAAGGGATATATTTAAAAATTGATATATTCGACATCCGCTAGGCCTAGCATAAAGTAAACAGGTTTCATACAAGTGCTCGAACGTTGGTCTCAATTTATGTTGTGGCGTTTGATAAAACAAAAAATACAGACCTTGTACATATCAAAAATGCCATGTTCCTCTGCATATGTAGAGAATTCGGGAGGAATCAGAAGCGGTCTTTTTGTCTGGTCCATTTTCAACGGTCCTTTTAGTGCTTTACGCTCGTGTTGATCGCGTTGCTATGCGAATCTATCCCGAGCCCGATCGATTAATTTCATCTTTTCATTCCTTGATGTGCTAACAGTGAGTAAGTCTTTAAAAACATTTACAGAGGTTTTTTTTTTAACAATCATATAGAACCTTTTTTCTTAAATTGCATTATTTAAATGACAAAATAAAATCATAATTCAAAATTTAATTACCCCGGTAATAACCTCAAGCAGATTTAAACAGAGCAAACAGTTTAGAAAGTCAAAGACATTTGATTTCAATATAAATTTTCAATCAATTAGAGTAAAGTTAGAACTTAAAATGCACTCTCCTTATTTACAAATTCTTATAAATGCGCTAAAGGGGAATAACTCTTTCATATAATCAATAATTCACCATTCACAATTCATTTTTTTAAGATACCAAAGACTGAATACACACAGTCGAATTGAAAAAAAATTTAAAATATGCTTAAACTTAAAGAGTAAAAAGATTAAAAACCTCTTCAATTAACTTTAATCTGATCATTTCTGTGGTAAAAGGTAAATGTAAGTAAAACCAGTGGTCCTTCTCACAAAAAACCTTAGGACTAAGACAAAAAATTTACCATTCTCCATCAAGGATCTACATTGTAGCAGATCACAAAAACCCTAGACTTACTTTTCCATTATTTAGACATTGTAAAAAACATTTAGGAAAAAAATAAATGTCTCTATTGAACAAAATCTTACAAGATTGTGAATTATTTTTTTTCTTAGTCATAAGATTTATGTGAAAAGGGCCACAAGTTAGTAAAATCAGTGTGCATTCCTAGATGCATCATAGGTATACAAGTTTGATTCTTATCCTACATCTGAAATATAGACCATGTCAAGCAGTGTGCATTCCTGGTTCATCAACCGTTCAAGTTTAGTCACAGAAGAGCTTAATATTGTTATTCAGCAATGGTCTTGCTAAAAAAAAATTTAACCACTCAACCCCTAAATAGGTCAGATCCAGCACCTCAAGCCAGGCTGGTTCTGTGGATCCCAAAATGTAACAACCATGATGCAAGTTTATTCAGTAAAAGGCTTATACATGTAGTTGACTTCGGAATTGAACTTTATCCCAATTACTAATCTATAAAATGTAGACAAGCATCCAGATAATCTGGTGTGCATTTCTTGATGCATAATACAAGCAATATTGACCTTAGTTGCATTGCAGTGTACCTGCTTCAAAGAAAATTTACCTTCATTCACATGAATAAATGTAGGTCTGATCCAGATCATCAAAAAAGTCTAGTAGCGTGCATCACTAGAAGCATTATCTATGCAAGATTGGTCCAGTTAGGAAAATTGAAATTAACTTGCTCCACCTTGACCTGCTCAGTCAACTGGAAAATGTCAGACCAAGCATTCAATACAAATTTGCCAATGTGCACCTATAGATATTGTTGATCTATGTAAAACTTGAATACTTGATATTCCACATGCTCCAAAAACCAACTAAAGGCTTGAATCTAGCATGTTCCAAAAGGATTAACCTTGTCATTTCTATAGAAAATAATGGCTGGAAATGCAGCATCCGAAGTCTGACTGGTCCACTGAATCATATTAGATGCAGCATACTTGCAGCTTTGATAAATATACTAAGGTCAAAGAAATACTGTACTTTGAAAGAATTCTGTGGCCCTTTTCACAGAAAATCTTACCACTAAGACAAAAAATTCTCCATTCTGCAAGTTTTTTAATGATATACATGTAGTTATTTTTTTTCTAAAATATTTTTTTTATGATGTTGTCTTAATTTAATGGAAAAATAAGTTTTTGTGATCTACTACAATGTAGATATTTGTTGGAGAATTGAAATCTTTTGTCTTAGTTGTAAGATTTTTATTTTTTTATTTTACTATAAAGGTCACTGCTCACTAAAAATTTTAAACTTGGGCACTGACAAAAAGTTTATAATATAACCTCCCTCAACAATGTTGTCAACTAAGCTAACAAAAAACACAGAGCATATTTGGTTGTCTGAATTTACTATTTTTCTTATAAACTTACAAAACTTTTTCTAACGCTATGGGTCTAACTAAAAATAAATACTACAAAGTTCAGATGAAAGTGAAGGGAGTTGAAATGAAAGGAGAAATATTGAGGAACATGGCCATACTGTAGTAAGAGGTAATTACAAGTCTTTAAGGATTTCCAAGATTAACGTAACATGATTTCCAATCATAAAATACAATAGCACTTTCGTGACAGAAAAACAAAACAAATAACATAATTAAAAATATCTCATAAAAGTGATTAAAAAATACAACACAACTACAAAAAGGTTTCACTTTTCTTTTTCTGTTGTCTTTTTTAAAAAAAGAAATTTATACAAAATTTGCTGCAAATCACACATCCTGCTGAAAGCTCCCCTATCATAAACACACTTCATACATATAATGAGTAAACTCAATGTAGTGTCTTCTATCACACTTTACTATTCCATCAAGGGAACCTTCTACAAAATCCACATACTCATAACCCATACCCAGGTACACAAAATGAATAAAATGCCTCACTGAGTAAATATGGCTACAAAACAATAAGAGTATTGATAGTCTTGAGTAGTTTTGATTATTGTACGCTGCATAAAAATGGTATATATTAGTACAAAGGTTTAATACAAACAGGAGTAATGTATAATCTTTTGAATTACACACAACAAATATTTCTCCTGACTAGCATAGAAGCAATATTATTAACATTTCCTAAAATATGGTCTCAAAGTAATTGTGAAATATAAAATGAACTAGTAAAAAAAAAACACTACAAAATTCTATTTGGCAATCAACAAATATTTAAATCTTACATTTACTGACCACAAATCTAATGTCAATATAAGTCTATCAGCTCAGGAACAAATACATATACCATTAAAAATACATAGCATGCTCTCTGAGACAACTCAATTACGGAAAAAATTATAGAAACTTGTAACGCTGTTGTCCATTCTTAATGAAGCACTAAGATCTGTGTTTACAGTCGTCATGGTCCATCTTTTTTCGACAGCTGATCTTGGGTGGTTACCCGAAGCTGTTGTTTTTTTTGTCTCTGTCTTTATACGAAATCAGCTTGGCTCTGTAGCTGTTAACTCTTGATAAAGCACTAGAGTCTGAGTTCACAATCGTCCGTCCTTTTCATCAGCTGATCCTGGGAAGTCTTTCACCACTTCTGTCCATTTTGGTCTTGACCTTTATATGATAACAGCTGAACCTGCGGAGCAGTCACTCAGACTGTAGTAGTCGGTGGTAATTCCCCGTACATTGTGGACTTTCTGCTCCAGGAGAGACTTCCAGGTGTACTTCAGTTCAGTGGTAGGGGCCCGGAACAGCATCTTGTGGGTGATTGGGACTCCTTGAGGGGTTGTTTCAGAAGCAAAATGTAAAACCAGTTCAGTTGCTGGAAAAAAACATAAGAAAAAATAAGTACGTGAGAAAAGAAAAGTGTATGTGACATTTTTTACAAGCTTTTTACAGTGAAACTTCTTATAACTTTAATCTCTTGACACGCGTTAGAAAACAGTGAGCACCACTTACTGTGATTTCTCTGTCCGTCCACCTGTGTGATGTGCTTCAGGTACACTGGTTCATATAGCACATGGAGCTGGTCACTTCTGTCTTGTTCTGTCTGCACCAGGATGTCAGAGAACAGCAGCACAAACAGCTGAAAAAAAAAAATAGCACAATAGATTACAATATTTTTCCATCCTCTACATGTATTTCATATGAAAAGCAAAACAAATATATATATGTATAGAAATTACCAGGGTATCTACCATATAAACTTTATAATACGAAATAGGATCCTTGGATAATTAATAAATTTACATTAAAAAAATAAATGTGAAAGGAAATCTGGTTTTTTTTTTTGTTTTGTTTTGTTTTTTTTTTTTTTTAGAGATTCCTACCTTTTTCCATGTTGTTCCCTCCCATCTAAACATGTCACCAGCATAAATCAAATGTCTGTCCTCGGTACATAGCTGGAATTTCTGGGGAGAGAAATTGTTTCACTTAGACAAAGCCTTCAGAACGTGTTTACGATACTTGAACAAATGGTTCTTTTAAATCAATAGCTGATATCATGAACAGAATCCTCTATGACCTTAGAAATTTAATTTTTGTTTTTTTCATAGTTTTTATAAAATGAGGATGAAAACAGAATATATATCTTACCCCAGTATTTGAGGAAAACACCAATCGATCTTGTATTCTGGCTACTTCTGAGTCGACAGATCGTACGGTGTTCATGGAGCAGGATGGAGCTAGGGTGCCTTTGCCGGACATAGAGTTAGTTTCAGCTTTAGAATGTCCCGTACTTCCAGTCGATGAGGCAAGGGATGAAATGCTTGGAACACGGTCAACACAGCTGTAGTTGGATATATTGCCAACACACTCATTTAAACCTGAAATAATAAAAAAATTTAATTTCCTTCAATATCATCCTTTTGGTAATCTTACTTGGTAAAAGATTATCAGAAAATAGAAACTCAGATGACTGAAAATTTTATTTATGTATTTCCTTAACACCTCTTGAAACATTGTAATTTTCATAATGCATTGCATATAAACATGCAAAAATAGATCTTACATTGACTTTTTTAAAGATGAAGCAAACTTGACTGAATATTTCTATTGCAGATTATGAGAGAAAATTCTTGACTTACTTTCAACCACCTGTTTGAGGCCCTTAAAGTCACTCTCCTCATTGAGTGTGTTAATGAAGATGTCCTGTAGTACTTGGTACATCTCTCTAATGTGGTGAACTGGTTTGGTTAGAAATGTGCTGATAGAGGGCTGCTGGGGCTCCAAAGGGGGATCCTGTAACATGTCAAGTATTAAATATCACTTTAATAAAGGTATTCAAACAAGCTATTAACATAACTGCAGTGATTATAAATACATGTACTAATATTCAACTATTACTTCTATTGAAATATACTCACCTTGACAAATTTAACAAATTCTGTTGATTTCCGTAGGTCTAACAAAAGTTCATTGGCCTCCCCTAAACCTTTTGAGTACAAGTCATATGCTTGGGACAGCATGTGGACCTAAAAATTAGCAAAAAAGTTTATGAGTTAAACTGTCTTTCTCCTGACCAAACAAATTTATTCTGAAATTTTCTAGTATTTTTTAAATGAAAAATAAACCTTTGTTTTGAGCGTGATTTAGATTTACCTTTGATTGATAGATCATGCCAATGGAGAAGTTCTGCCCTCCCTCACTTGATGTGAATGATCCCTCCGTGTCTGAACAAAATGAGGGCATGTTGTCATGAATTTGTTTGAGGTGATACTCCGAAATGGTTACCAGCTAAAAAAGTTAAACAGAAGCATGGTTGTAAAAAAAAAAAAGCATCATTAAGATTTCTATTAATGCCCATTTTTCTTTCTTAAAATAACATTTTAAAGCTGTGTTCTCTATCTTAAAAGTATTTTGTTGAAGGTACATTAGATTAAGTGATAAAGAGGAAATATTATAATGTACTTACTTTTTCGATATTCTGGAAGAGTGTAAAATGTTGTCTGGGGTTTAAAATACAGTGACGGAGTGGTCTGGAATATCTCTGCATTCCAGCATGCATGACATCAATAAACTCCATCTCTATACTCATCAGTCTGTGGATAGCCTCCTGTTTTCTCTTATCTCTAGTTGGCACAGTCTGCAAACCAGTTAAACCATGTTAGCAGTTTTATATTTCAATTCTTAAGGTGTGATTTCTGTTTATTCTTAAACATTTATGTCATTCATTTACCATACAGCACAGTAGTTTCAGGTAGAAATTAAACAAACAAATTAAATATCTTATTACGCACACTTTAACCTTCCTTAATATTTCCCATCAAACATACCTGGTGTCCATTCATGAAGAGGGGGAGTGGGGTGCTTGTGATGAGGTGACTGGGAAGGGAGAACACTCCTTCATCCACAGATCCGTCGGTCCCCTTACTGTCGTCTGAGAGCTCCCCCGAGTTGTTGTCGTCCTGACCCCGTCTGAGCTCCATGTGTTCTATAGAGGAGTTAGGAGGGAGCACCTGCTGCCAAGGGGGGTTCTCCAGGATCTCATAGGACTTAGGCCGCTGGAGGTCAATGATCAAAGTAGGACCGGAATTCCTGTAAAATAAATAAACTATTGTGAATCTGTCAACATTAATATTTACAATATCAGCAATCGCTATAAAAGGAAGCCCATTCTATAAAACTTATTTGATGTCGGACTTACTTTACAAGTTTGGCTACACTGGCTGACTGTGATCGGGACACGTTCTGGTTATTGACACGGATGATACAATCTCCTGGACAAAGTCCAGCATGGTCTGCTGGGGAACCTAAAAAATCACAAAACATTTAAATCTTTTTTATCCTATACTGAACCACTGAAAACATGATATTTTTTGTTTTGACATGCTAGATATCACTTGGTCAGAGAACTGCCCTATTTACCTCTATCCACTCTGCCAACTTTGACAGGACAGCTCTCTATCACAGAGAACCCGTACCCATGCTCCCCTCTGTGGACAGTAACAGTGACTGACTCCATCCCCCACACATCTTTGTTGACAGGAGGCACATTTTCTCTCTGACCTTCAAAAACAGATAGAAATGTGAACATCCTATAATTCAGATACCTAAGAAAGTCTTGTTTCAAAGCATCAGATGAATCAGGATATAGCATTCATAGATCACAGCCATAAATTCAATCCTTAATTCATCTGAAGATAAAAGCTTGATATTTTTTAAAATTTAAGACAGATATACAAAAGTATTTTTTGTTCCTATGTACTAACTGCTTTATTTGTTTTTTTTTTTTTATTTTAAAGAGAGCAAGCAGGCCCAGCAGTATAAATTACACATTTTTTTTTTTTTTTGGCAAATATATGCTTTTTTTGAGGAATCACTAAGGTCATTTTTAACACAATTTTTTAGGTTAGCAAAAGTGGGTAGTACTTTTCTCATTTGCAAGGATTTGACTTATTAAAATTTTCAAACTTCACTCTGAGAAACATAATTTGAAGCCTTACTCCTATCAGACTTTAGTAGAAGACTTACTTCTGACTTGCAGCTTAGGCTGGTTTTTGCTTGAGACTTTTAAGTGCTTCTTACGGCCCACTTCCTCTGTCAAAAGATAGTACCAGCCATCTGTATCCTTCCTCCCATTAATCAGGTGACGAATTCCAAAGGAGGTACATCCCAAAAACTCACTGTTATTAAATAGCATGATTAAAATTGTGATTCCTTATGTGTTTTCATTAGCATGAGAAATGTCTAAGGCTGCCTTCAGTTTGCTGAGATTATCACATGCCAAAGACAAGTGTCAAATGTCTGTGTTTGATATGCTTATAGATTCATCGTTTTCTCTTTCTCTCACAATATCTAGGAATCAAACTTAAGGAAGCCCCCCCCCCCACATAATGATGGGTAATTATCTATTCAAGAGCACAACCCTATTATTAGGCAAACATGTATATCACAAATCAATCAAGAGACAGAAACCCTGCTGAGCAAAAGTCTGGTACTACTTATCAGTGGATAAACAGTAAATTAATTGTGTAATTAGTTTGACTAACATATAATTATGTGTGCTATGGCCAAACATAAAGATATTCCACAAGTAATTAAAAAAGTCTCAACTTTTTATTTGATTAAGGTTTTAAAATGGTTTTTAAAAGTGATATCTCAATAAAAAAATTAAAACTGTGATTTTATTTAATTTCTTTAAAAAAAAAAAAAAAAAGAAATGATTTTTTTTAATTAAAGATTTTGGTCAAATATTAATTTATGATCAATGAAAATCAAAAAATATATTATTTAGTAAATAAAAAAATTTAATGATAAAATAGTACTTGTACATCCCCCCCCCCAACCGCCACCACCCGCTCCCTCAAAAAAGAAGGAAACCTTAATTAATTTAAAAATTAAAATTGAAATAAAAAAAGAATAAAAATATAAGAATCCACTCACTTGTTATTTGCCTCCTTGTTCCACACTGAGATGAGGAGTCTCTTGTTATTGTCTTCCTCAAAAAGCTCACTGCACAAAACAGACATCATATTAATTACAGCAACACAATACCAAAATCATCTCATAAAATCTCAGAGCATCTGAAATGCTGCTCTTAAACTTGCACAGACAAGTTTACATCACGCAGAGTGAGAAACAATGGGAGATGACAAAAAGGAAAGGGAGAGAATAAGAGGGATTTACTTATGACAATTCCAGATTACAACAGGGGGTCATCAAATATCTCAAGGGGAGTGGTTGATAAGAGATAATCAGCCCAGGAAAAAGGTTTATTCTTTAATCTTTTGTCTAGCCCTGCTTAATTTAAGAACTTCTACACATCCACATAATAACTTTTTGTTATGTTACAAAATATTGCACATTTTGGAAAGAATAAAATATTTTGCCTGCAGAATTTCCTGTTGAAATTAATTTTTGCTGGTGCACAGTGGTTGCTATACAAAGTTGTCAATTAACAATAGTTGCCAGGAAATTCTAACAAATAGCAATTACACAATGACACTATGCAATCAGTGATGTGCTGTTATCTGGGCAATATCTTGACATGGCAGATAGAATCCTGCTTGTCCACATGTTATTTCTAACCTATCTACAGATCTCATGCCTAAATAGACATTTTTCCCTCAGGAAATGATTGATTCATCCTAATTGAAATTCTAGCACAATCATGTATCTGTGGTGCTTGTTTGGCAAGAATGGTCAAGAATTTTACAAACATGTTAATTAAACAACCAAAACATATCAATGTTTTAATTATGAATGTCATATTCTACCATTTTAAATTTTCTATTCAGATGTCAATTTAAAGGTGGCACCATTCTTAATTAATAATTCAATTTTTTTTTTAAATTCACATAATTACTCTCATATTTGAAACAGGTGTAATACATAAAATACTTGTATTTTTTAAATAGTCTTTTTAGGGAAAAGAAATGAATACTCACAAAGAAAATTTCTCATCAAACAGGGGATTGTTAGACCCATTAACAACATCTGTTCTGCATCTCGATTTTCTTGTATCATCTGGCACCAGGGACATCTAAAACAAGAAACAGCAATATATAAAAAATATCATATTATTACATAAGATCAAGAGATACATGTATCATATAAAAGAATTAATTCTGTATGCTTACCTTTACAATTGCATTGCATAGAGGGGATGACTTGGATGTAAGGTGTCTAGCTTGAATAACTGTAAAAAAAATAATAAAAAGATTATGAATACATTTCTAGATACTTTTCTTTAAAATTTTAAACCTGCTTACAAAAAATAAAAATGTTAAGAAATAAAAAAACACCTTAATTATTACTTACCATGTACTGTTAATAACCCAAAGTTCATGTAAGCTGACAATCTAATTTGACCTGCAAAAAAGAATACAGTATTGAAAAAAAACTTATGTAGAGAGATTAAAAAATTTTTCAGAAATCAAAACACTGAATAAGGGTATGTTTTCATATATACCTCTAGTACACATAATTTTCTGTTCATAACTCCCCACAGAATCAGGGTGAGAAAACACCATATTGGTGAACTCAAAAATACCAGTCCAAAATATCCCACAATAATTTGTCAAGAAACAACTGTATTAAATTATTTAAAATCCAATAAACCAAGTCTCATACACAAGAAATATGACAATTCACATGCCATTGACAATACCACTTAGATTTGGTAATTTTGACACTATGTCTGAAGGCATGCTGAATACAAGGCTCTGATTGGCTGAGAGGGTCTACCTGGGTAGTTAGACTCAATGTCTACAGTAGCAGGTGTGAAACTTTACCTGGATAAATGGCCTCAATGTAGACACTGAACCCAAGCTGTGAAATGTACATTTTACTCTACACACAAATCTGAAAACTTTATGCAATGTGAATAACAGTTTATTTAGATAGAACAAACAGTACAATATTGTACTACAAATTCAGAATTAATCCTGATAAATATTCTAAAGGAGGAGAAAAAGTAATATTTGGAAATGATTACCTCATGCTGTTTTGAGGAATAACTTTCATTGCCTTGAAATTCAATATATGAAATAATCATCCTCATATTTAATTATCTATATCCAGTTATGATGTGTTATCTTTATCCCAGGACAAATTTATGGTGATCATTTTAATTTTTTTTATGAAAATCTCTTTTCCTGTACCTATATCCTAGATGTAATGGCAGTGAATCACAGTGTAGTTATATAAGGACACAGAAAGGAGTACATAAAATACAAAACTCTTATATAACAACCACACATTAAGTTACTGACTTAACATTAATATTACACAACATTTTCTTTGAAGATGTTTAATCAAAGTTAATATTAAACTGGGCTGGAACCTCATGGCAGTAACAATTTACATATCAATGAACGCTAGGGTACATGAAACAAAATCTATACCTATAAGCAAAGACAAGGAAAAAAATTCCTTTTTCAAATTTTAAATGTCAAGTTGGTTCAAACTTTGAAGAAAAAGTTTTCTATAAGTGTATGACACCTGCCGATGTTTGTTCAAATAATTATAAAAATTTTTTTGGTCATAACAAATAGTTTAGAATTTTATAGATCATCAAATATAATTTTACGGGTACTCAATCACTAAACATCCCCCTGACAATTAGAGGGAGTGCTACACTTTGAGATACACCATATCAAATTCATCTTCCCCTCTGATGTACTACTGTACACCGACAGGTGTGTCTCTACACTGTCCAATAAAACAAACAGTAAACTCTTCATATCTCCGTCTAACACCTGCCGTGGCACGCTTCAACTTTTTCAAAATAGATTATTCTAGATTCATCTTTTGAGGTATAAAATGCTACAGTCACTTAAATTACTAGCTTATAATATTTTGTTTTAAAAAAAATCAATTGAAATACCTAATTTTCTTTCAAAATAAAATATTTCAAAAATTATTTCTTTAAAAAAAAAAATTAACGAAATGTTAGTGAAGAACTTATACATGACATGAAGATAATAACAATTGAAAAAACTGTATACAATATTAAAGTGTATACCTGTAAGCAATTTAGGAGCAATGTATTTCAGACCAGTAAAGTATCCATTCAGGTCCATCAACATCCTCATTAAACTGCTGTAACTTGACCACCACTTGTTCATTACAACATTGGAACCACTCAGCCAATTACCCCCTACATAAACATGGGGACCTTTTCACATTAATCTCTGCAGCATGTGGAGCGCATCAACCCCAAACTGACAGTAACGTTTAACCAGAGCTGGGAAACTCCCACAGTGTGTGCCCCATGTGACCAATAACCCCACATTCAATTGATTAAAATTTCTTTTGTGAGAAAACAATTTTCCTTAACGAAAGTGATTAATTTGGGAATTTACAAACTGTAATTAATCATGTGGCTCCAATCTCAAACTAGCTCCAAACCCAACAATAACTGACAGATAAAAATATGAACTAATCTAATGTCCATCACACATTGTTTCCTTTATATTAAATAGTACACTTGATATTCATTCAGGTTAACTGCATTAAAATTATGTGCATTTTATTTCAATACTGATCTACCAAGACCTCATTATTGACCAGATGGTATGAAGATCATGACCGGGACCTCTAATTAGAGTAAATAGTACATACTCTAAGATGCATGGAGATCAGACAGTTAAACAAGGTACAATGTAGCCGTGCCCAAAATTTTCTGCACTGATGTGGTATTTCTAAAGATAAGACTTAGTGCTTCTCTAAACCATTACCCAACCTTGAGCTTATCTTCTGGTCAGTCTGGTCAAGGGAGGCAATATATCAGTGGTGATCTAGCCATTCTGTGACCCTCCTACCCCTCCACACAATAACACCCAGTGTGAGGCCAGTCATAAACGGCCATGTGTCAATCAGAATTGTCATTATCAAGTCACAGAGTCTAGCAACAACCTGGAAATTATCAAACTGCTAGTGATGATGAAATGTCCATAAAATTTACATTAGACCTCACTCCATTTAGGCAGGCCCTCTAAATGGGACCTTATTGCTCTGCCAACCCATTGGTACTCCCCCATTAACAAGGACATCATGAAATATCATAAAAGAAATCTGTTTTCTTAAAGATCTTTGGTATTCCCATTGAAAGTAATTTCAAAAAAATTCTCACATTCTCACAAGCAAGGAAATTTGCTTATCTACTGGATATATTACTGATATATATATGTATGTATATAGTGGTACTAACTTAGAATTTTATTTTAAACAGAGGGCAAATTTTCTATACTATGTATTTACCATAATTAAAAGTTTCCACTACTAAATGAGATGTTTAGTATACTGCTGCAGTTTTTGCAATTCAAAATAGGTTTAGCATCATGAAAATAAATCATCAATTTATATGTAAAATATTTCTGTATTACATCAGGACTAAAGTGTAACAGCATGCAGAAGAACAGGTGTAAACTAAAGGTTTACAAAACTGTGATTTTCATATGATTGCCTTAATTTAAGGAAATAAACATCAGAAAATTTACACTTGGTCAATGTCAATATGGCATACAATAACTAACTACATGTATACATGAAATTGTTTACAAACAAATAAAGAATACTGACCTTCATTCTGTAGGACTTTGAGGGGCCTGGATTTCTTGTCATCGTTAGACATAACTGACGGAGGGGGAGCCTGGTAGCCTTTCAGCGGGGGAATAGCGTGGGGAGCAGCCTGGGGCAAACCATTACCAGACACCTTCAGTCTTTTACAGGGGCTCAGGATTTCCTCATATATATGTTCCATTGCAGCACAGTTAGCACTAGGCTTTAAAAAGTACCCTGAAAAATTGAAATATACATTATTTTACACAATAGTTAGTATATACCATAGTTTTATTTTTAAAAGATGTATCTATTTAATACATTTAATTTTCTGTTTAAATTAATAGTTCTGAAATTTTGACCATTGCTTAGTAACTCGAGCAAATTTACAAGGATGGCCATTAACACCTCTTCAATCATTTTATAACCTGTTACCTACTAACATGCCTTACAGTGTAAATTGGAGCATAAAATTGTGATTAAAACATGGTACCTGTATTGCTCAACTGGTAAGGTACATACATGAAACATACAAATCCAAGTTCTAACAATTTTGTGTCAAAGCAATAAAAGTATTAGCAGATTGTAAAGATGTTCATAACTGTACTCTATCATATCAAGTGTTATATCTAGAAACAAATTCAATTATGAAAGATAACAATTTTATTATTTAATGTTAACTGATAATAAAAAAAATTCAGATGAATGAATCAAAAGGATAAGTTTTATACACACTTTCTCTTTTTCTATAAAAATGCTATAAATCCAAAGCATATATCAAAATACAATATCACTTAATAAATTCCAAATACACAATTCATATAAATGTAACAACTCACTTGAATTAAAATATGGGTCATCCTCAGCCTCTTTTTGAGGAGGTATGTCAAATTTTTCGTATAAGCCATACATTCTCACAACTTAATGTAACCACTTGAACAAAATCCTAGATATATTTTACAGACATGTTCATCTCTAGCACAAATCTGGATAAAACTGAGGAAATGTCATAACACAATTCAACAATCTGTTTCCTCCCTTAAATGGGAATGTCCAGTTGAATTAATCCTGTAGTCTTCCTACCACCACTTACAAGTCATGCATTACACACAAACAAGATTAAAACAGGAATAAAAGCACTTGTACAGGTCAACAGATAAATTTCTTATAAAAATAAAACCATGTTTGATTTGACTAGATTCTGGAGTTAAGGGGATGATGACATTTTATGACCACAGGTTACATACAGTAACAATATTTGTACTAATGGCATTAAGAGATAATCATCATAAGATTAAACCTGATAAATATTTGCACCAGGTTTTACTACTGTGTATCATTTACAAACATACAAGATACTAGCTACAAAATACCATACAGTATACTTTAGTTATTCACTCAACTAATGAACTTACTTTGTCATATGATTTATGATCCTCAAATAAACTTAAAATGATTGTTTAACATGCTTTGTAATCAGTGTATTAACCAGAAATTTGGGATAATTTAGAATTTAGTTTCAGGCATTCCACTTATCTTGTGATCTTGACTGTCATTTGTAAAGCTGCAGTACTAACCAATTGTCATTAGTACACAAACATGTAGCTACCAGTGTTATGTGTCAAAGGGACAAGGCAGGTGTAAACTGACTGTAAACAAGAACTCTGTGTATTTATCTTAGGGGCAAAATATTGCTATTGTCAAGAGATATCAAATCTGGGATTAACTTGTCAGTAATATGCAGTGGTTTAATATTCTGCATACCTCTGCTTGCTAATCATACTAATGAGGACAAAAAAGTTCCTTTCCTTATGTCTGAGACTGACCCTTTTTATTATTATATCAAGGCCAGTGATTGTTGAAGGCCGTCGAGCTTTGTGAAGAGCCCCAGGCATTTTGACCAACTGCAACTACGCAACTCGCAAAAAAAAAAAATCAAATTAACATGATTAAATAAACCTCTAACGTTAGTTATCGTTTGGTGCATCTACCAACAGAACATACTTTTTACTTTCCATATGTCTATCATGCTTAAAACGTGGATACAAGTAAAAGGATCCAATTTATCAATGTTACAAACCAAACATCCCCTATCGTGCACCCCATGCCGATGAACATCTGTCGCCACTCTCATGAAACAAAAGATAATTTATTGTTCAACTTTTTAATGAAAATGTGTTCGTGCAATGCAAAAAGGGTTATGACTTACCTAAATAAGTAATTCCTAACTAATGTCAGCCAATAATCGGGAGTTAAAAACAATCATTGCCTTAAAAACGTTGTCTTGTTTATGTGCTTGGCCTATCCATTTTCTTTCTGTGTTGAATCTCGTGCCAAAGCGTGACGTACTTGTAAAGCGCCGCCTGACGGGAGCTAGTTTCTTTATGGGGAATTACTCTAATCAGAAACGCAGAAATTAAAGTACAAGCACATTTATGTAGAAAATTCTCAAAATACAGCTTAAAATTATATTTTATCAAGTAATGATGTTGACATAAATGCACAGTTGTCAAAGTTTCTCGCAATATATATCTTAGTAAAGAGTTCTTTTCCAGGATTATGAAAGGTGCCATGCAGTATCATTCGTTCTAGCCTTGTAAAAAATGGGGTGCGCGATGCTCATCATTTTTGAAAGTTGGGTCGGGGGGGGGGGGGCGACAGAGAAAAAAAAATCAACTCACCTTGAAAAAACATGCAAATTAAAACTCGAAAATCCTTTTGCGTGATGGTGGTGGTGGTCAGTACAATTTTTTTTTATCTTGCTTATAATGCCACACATACTACATTACAAAAATTAGGGGGTAACCGGACATTCAATGAACATTTTCTATTAAATAAAAAGTTATGTCTCAAAAAAAAGGGAGTGGGTGGGTGTGTGGGTGACCCCCGTCCCCTATGCTACGTGCCTGAAAATTAAGTTCTCGCAAATCTCCAAATCTTTGAATTTTTTTCTGCTTTCTGGATATGGGAACATTGCATTTCATTTAGATTTGAAAGTTTTTACTCCCACATACACCTCTTTTAACGCTTGTTCTGCCAGACTTGGAAAATTTGTCAATGATGAGAATTTGCAATTTAAAACAATTTAAAATCAACACTACCTCAGAAAACTTCAAAATAAGGTTGAGCTTTTCTGGTCCAGTGGTTCTCGAAGACAAAATTTGAAAATATTTCCCTTAAATATTTCAGAGTAAAATTTGGATTCCCTAATTAATGTGGTCACAACCTACCTTCAGGGGTCAGGGTTGTGAATTTAAAAATTTACACGATCACAGAATGCTTTCACTTAAGTTTCAGCTTTCCTGGCCCAGTGGTTTTTGGGAAGATTTTTTTATTACCCCCTGTTTTGTCTTCTCTTGATTACTATAGTATCTCCCCTTGTGGGTTGGGTTGAGACCTTTTATTTTAACAAACCCCCAAGTTTATTCAAGGATTTTTACTTTAAACTTTGGTTAAAATTGGCCCAGTGATTCTTGAGAAGTTGAAAATGTGCAAAGTTTACCGACGGACGGACAGACGGTCAACAAGTGATCAGAAAACTTCACGAGCTTTTATATTTCATCTCAGTCATTCTCAGGTGATCTTTAGATACTGTTCAAGTCAAAAATCCCAGACACACAAATATATGCAATTTTTCTTTATTATTTTCACAATTTAAAGGGAGGACAACGCACAATAAAACAATTTAGAACGGACAACACCAACTTCCCACATGAGTGAGGTCAAATTTTTGTCCATTTATACTTATGGTACTTCCACTGGTGCCAAAACGTAACGTTTTACTCAGTGACGTCATATATTTGAGAAGTTCTGGCGGAGACATTCCAGACAGACGACGATCCTCTCGCAGGTAAATTTCGTCCAAGGACTCTTTGTTTGTAACATTAAGGTACTCCGCGTATCCTAAAAACTGCTGCAAATACTGCCGTGTTTCATTAAGCAAATATTCTTGTGCAATAATCTCAAAGTCGACCGGTGGTTTTAGGTCTCTTCTCTCTCGGTGTCCCGAAGCACCGCCATAATCTTGGTAGTCATGGACGAGATTTTTGGTGAGCTTAGCGAACCATTCCCGCAGAAAGTTTGTCACTTCCCCTGCCAAATATATTTATAATGGCTTAAAAATCACTTCAATCTAGGCGCCATAAGATTAGGGAACAGGACTTGCTTAATTATATCTTCATTATTGCAAATAATGGTTAATTTTTATTCCGCCTCATTTCTTTTGTGGGAAAGCAAATTACCTGCACAAATGGATCACCAAAATAACTCCTTTGTCTTATACATGTGAATAGAAAAAATCTTCAGAATACTATATTAATGTTCTCTGGCTTGCAAAGACCATGCATTTTGATCAAATATAGAACGATTTGCAAGTCATGTGTAAAGAAAATGGATTATAATTATTCTTTATAAGTACAACATGGCTTTTATAAAGTGTCAAGGAGTGATTTTGTGTATTTTACTTTTACTTTGATGTTTCAGCATCTTCGTCACAAAAATAATACCCAACCTAAAATATCTTTCCCAGATAATTAGCCCTGGAATGGTATTTTTTTTCTCTTTGAAAATTGAGTGTAGAGTAGGATTTTCCTCGTGAAGAAAAATCATGGAAATTGCACAGAAAATCCTATTTGTAGACAATTACTAGTTGTTCTAAATTTTGAACTGACCGAGTGGAAGTACATTGTAAACATAAAAACGTCTAAATTTTGTATTTTCTCCAAACCCGAAAATTCAAAATTAAGAATATCATAAATTTTCTCCCAGGGTAGGTTCCCCATCTCACTATACTTGTACCCCTCTCATTTAATAGAACACATTTAAAATATAATGGAAATTTAAAAAAAAAAAAGCTCTGTTGTATTTTTCGACAATGAAATTATATGTCGTTTTTTTTCATCAACTTGAAAAATGGATAAAATAAAATAATAATAGAAAACAATATTTGAATATTTCTTTTAAAAGCTACCGTCTTTGGATGTTCGTTATATGGAAGTACATGTATAGCGCCAAAAATATTTAAGGCCAAGATCTAGTAATTGATTTTTCCCGTGCTTTACGGCAGTACCATAATTATGTATACGTAAAAAAAATGAAGCATTTTCATTGCATTTAATTCAAAATTGCATAAAAAGTAACCCCGGGTAACTATGTTCATGTTAATATTATTTTAAAGAAGAGGCCAAGAAGATATGAAAAACAGTTTTCTGAGAGACTGCTTAGTAGTACTGAAATATTTCCTCGATTTGAGATTGAAAAAACCTCACATGTATGCAATTAAGACCTTTTTAAAATTAAAATTGGCAGTTTGAGTTATGTATTTTCATGTGGTTTACTTTAAAAATTAAGTCGATACATCTTAATATTTTACCTTGCTATATTTGTAAAAGATCATTTAGAAGAATTTGTTTTTCAATTAAGAGAAATCCGTAGGCACCTTTCATTTACAGGATCTTGACAAAAAATAATTTTTAGAAACTTATCCTAGGCAAAAGTCTGAAATTCTTCAGTAAAAAAATCCGGCAAAATGAGCCACGTCCTTCAAAGGATAAGGTGCGCTACCAGAAATTTACACATGTACAATATAAATCAGCATGATGTTGTGGGAAATCCTACTTTGGTTGTTTATGAAAGGGGGATATTGACACTCTTAAAAAAGTTTTACTTAGTAATCATTTTTTACTTGAAATAACAAAGATAAGTAATAGATAATTACTAAGCATTTACTTAAAATTTTAAATCAGTTACTGAAATATATGTCAATTACTATATTCAAATGTTTTACATGATTTTTGTATTTTAAAGAATTGTTTTACTTACACACTAAAAAGTTTTACTTAGTAATTTATATTTACTTAAATCTGTGTATATAAGTAATAACATTACTTGGCCTTTACTTACATTTTACCACTATTTACTATATAACTAAATTTTTTGCCCCCGTAAACGAAGTTTCGGGGGTATATAATTTTTGTCGTGTCCGTCTGTCTGTCTCTCTGTTTGTCTGTTTGTCCGCAAAAGCTTTAACCTTGCCCATAACTTTTGATTTAGCGGAGCTATGACTAGCTGCAGATCTGTAGCGTTATGGTTTCATATATTTGTCTTTGACCATAACGCTATAGATCCCGTAGTGCAAAAAAAAGTGCAATTTACGGCGCAATATTTTTTGCGCTCTTTTGGGGAGAATGTCTCCACTTTCTAGCTTTGGTCAATCAACTACCTTTCACTCCCTAATTCTAGACACATTCTGTAGCCATTATGTTCTAAATTCACCAGTTCAAACGAACATAAATTATTTATAAATAAAACTCAAAAACACTTTATATAGGATGAGCTCGCATGCGCGAGTGCAACAGACTTTAATGAAGTGTATACAGTATACAAAGCACAGTCTTTAGCTTAACTTCTGAAATCCAAATCATTCTACAAAAGAAAAAGAAACAAATAAAGCGACAGTCAACATTAAAACGAACATTTTAACGTGTACAGTATATCGATCGTACTGGAAGGGGTGGGTGGGGTGGGGGATAAGTCTGTTGCAATGTAGCAGCGAACTTCGAATAACTTAAAACACCCGAAAATCTACCTTATACGTGTCTGAATCATGCGTAGCACGGATTCAACCTATTCACCCGTAAACAAATAAACAACCAATCGATCTCCTTTATCGATGGACTTAATCTGCATACAAAACAAACACACGTGTTTTACCATAACTTTTATAAATATATTTATGTTCTAAATTCACCAGTTCAAACGAACATAAATTATTTATAAATAAAACTCAAAAACACTTTATATAGGATGAGCTCGCATGCGCGAGTGCAACAGACTTCGACGATAAAGAAAGCATTGACATAAAATTATCGAAACGTGTATGACCCCACCCCTAGATATCAAGACTTCAAGGTAATCCAATTATTACGTTTTTCAAACCAGGCCTTGAATAATTAAAAATTATCATAAAAATATCGCAGAATTCTCAAAGTGATGCGTATTTACCCACATTGATCATTCTTCAAACTTCATAAAGAAAATTTAATATTATTTAGGAGAATAAAAAAATATAACTTTTCAGGAATGCAAATGAATTCACCTATAACATGCATTTTCCAAACGAAAGTTTTACGACAATTATATCTATGTTAAAAATTATAGGTTTCCAAGCATTTGAAGAAAACTCCACAGATTTTTATACTGAGTTCTATGTTACTTTAATTTCTTCTATGTATACTGCACAATTATTATTATGCATAAATACTGTAGTTTATAAAGCGTTTGCTATGAATGCTAAACTTCATAAATCAATTATAAATTTATATCAAACTTAAAAATTGGTATTTAAGGCTAAATCGAGGACATTTGTATAAAAATGTTCAAAGAACTTTCAATTACATTAAGATTCATAAACACTCAGTCTGCTCACTGGTATGAAATGTTGCTTGAGCCTAAATGATTTTCCAAAAAAGAAATGTATTTTTAAGTAAAATACATGCAATTAGACAAAAAAGACACTTGCAAATCTATAAAGGAATATTAGACATTTATGTCATTCAGAGTTATCTCTCCTATCAGAGTATTAATGAACCTTAAGTTGCATGAAATTCAATTTGTTATATATAAAGTTTTCAATTTCAAGCTTCCTTTGGAGACTTTCGTGACTTTTTGAATAAATCATTAAATAAAAGAGTTATCCTTCCCGGCTGAAGAGTTTTCTTTTTTTTTCCTTTTTACCATGACGTCTTCAGATGAACTCAAAAAGCCTTCTACGTTGATTTTTTTTTTTTTTTTTAGTGAATCATACATATCAGCATTTGCAGTTCAGATAGCAACCCCGTTAAAACACTATGAAGAATAAAATTACTTATATAAACTTAAAAAGTTTGAGTGCTTACAGAATTTCTCTGTTTCTTGGTACAAGATTGTGACTTCCAGATACACAAGAATAACGTTTACAATACGAAATAAATTTAAATCAATCATAAATATTACTCATCTGATCAAACTCAATTATTAACCTTTTCTAAACATCTCTTGGTTATTAGCAATAGGACAAAAGAACTGAACTACACCTACCAGAGTGTAAACATTATTCCTCTTTGATTTTGACTAGAGGTGATTTGTCCGAACCTTGATTTTAAACACAGCTTTGGAAGTCTTCAGACAAATCCTTCAATGAAAGTTTTGCAAAACATCTGGTCCGTGTGTCCTGACTAAAGATACCTGAAAAAACTTTGCTCCAAAAATTTCAAAATCAGATTGTGATATCAAACTGCTTTATTATTCCCAAATCATTTTCTAAACGCTTAGAATCCAATCCAACAGAGTCTGTGATTATAAGAAGCACAGTTACAATTTGGCCTCCTTTACAGAATAAACAAGACAATGCTATATTAGTATTTAAGCTATTAAAATATAAATACGCAAGTACAGTAGTTTCGCTTTGTCAATTGAAATTTCAAATATGTCTGCAAATACATCTCAAACAAATTGCACTTTTGTATATCTTTTGAAGTTTATGTACTTGCATTTATCGATAAAACGAGTTTCCTGCTTCAATGAGATACTATAATTTTACACATCTTCAAAAGACAAGAAGGCAGCTCTATTTAAGGTCATGTCAACTTCGAAAATACTTACAAATCCAACAAAGAGAATTGTCTGCATAACCATACATCTCGGAATTTTCCAGCTTCATTAAGATACTTACAGGTCTTTTGAAGGTCTTTTGCTAAATATACTAGTCAATACTACATTCTAAAAATGTTAACTTCTTCGAAAATTTTAAAAATTTCAAAAATAATTTTATGATCAATGTACATGATGAACCATTCAAGCATTCCAGCTTCATCTAAGCTACTTACAGAATTTTAAAAGGGTCTTGCCTGCATCATACTACATCTGAAACCATGCCAGATTCTTCAAGCTACTATAACTGAATTTTAAGTGGTTTTGTCTGTATCAAACCCTCTCAAACATGCCAGTTTCTTCAAGCTACGAACTGAATTTTATATGGTCGTTTCTTTGTAAAACTGCATCTCAAACCATGCCAGCTTCTTCGAACTACTTACTGAATTCTCTATGGTCTTGTC